CATTACTCGCATTTAGTGTCATCACTATGTGAACAATGTTGAGGTAAAAGGTATTAAGTAAGCCAGGCAAGTGGATTGATGCGGCTAGAGACCTTAGTTGACTAAGATGGCTTAGATATGTACTGCACATGCCCAGCCATCGCCTACTTCGATGTGTCATGTTAGGTGAAACTGGATTAGGTTGTAAAAGCGTTCATGGTGACCAGACCAAGTTGTGGTACTAGTCTCTGACTGTTGGTTTAACTCGTATAGGAAGATGGTAGAAATCAGTGGGACTTGATCATAGTTCTGTAGATCTATTCACTTCTTAATGTCTCCTGAGGCTTGAATATCTACATTAATCATTCTCTTCGAATTGTTTTTTTCTCTCATGCAACTTTGTTTGTTTTGGAATTACTCCTTCTTCCTAGTACACTATTGTCAGGTGTACCAACTTGAGCTGATACACTTATGTGCATGATTCTACTTTGATTTTTTCCCCCTCTATTTGTCTGTTTCAACCTCATCTCGCCTATCGAGATTTGATCAACCGACTTTTATCGTCATTAGGTGTGATGTAATCAGTGTAACTGGATTGCCTATTACACGAATGTGGCACTTTAGTTGTGAAGTTATCAGAAAGAATTTTCTAATTCTCCTTCATTAGTTACTATAAATTGTGATTAAAACTTTTTTTTTTTTTAACTTGTGATTGTAAATCATATTCAGTGTTATACATGAAATCCACTGGAAATATTAAATATACTTGATATTATGTATAGTTATGATGAGCAGTGTAATCCAGAATCCTCATTAAATACACTATTAGTAAATGATTAAATTTACAAACAAAATTAATTGGAGTTCAATTGAGGTTAGTCGAATACTCGCCGCCCCCCCGCCTTACTCTAACCCTACCAACTATCAGCGAATAAATATTATTGTCCCTGTTGATAATTTACACAGCGAAAATCTTGTCTGTTTGTAATACTAATTCGAATAAAGTTCATTCTACCATACCATTGTATTGTTTATTTTGAAATAATCTAGTTATTAGCACAGTTTTTAAATAAAATAAAAAAAATATTCTGAAACAATTGATCATCCAAATAAGTTGATTAATTTTAATATAGACCCAAAATTCTAATCTGATAATGATCATGTAGCAAACCGTGAGGAGCTGTGAGAAGATGGTCATACGCTGGTTGAACCGATGAAAAGACCCTAGAAGATTTAGATTTCACCGATGATGGTTTATGCCTTATGTCGCACAAACTCGAAGATCTACAAGCGAAAACTAACAAGTTGACAGAAGAGACAGGGCAGTGAAGATGGGACTCCAAGTGAATGTAGAGAAGACGGAGGTGATGAAGATATCCAACCAACAACAACAAACTGCAATCACCATGAACAGGAGAAACCTAAAGGAAGTTGTGTCTTTAACCGATCCACCTACGTAGGCAGCATCGTTTCAGCTATAGGCGACGGCGACACACGAGGATGTCAAAACGAGGATCGGAAAGACGGCAAGACAGGTGTGGAGACCTACTGCACTCAGTACAAAGCATGAAAAGGTCCGGATTTTCAACGCTAAGTCAGTCAAGTCAGTGCTGCTTTTTGGTTCAGAAACTTGGTGTGTTACATAAAGCATTTCCAAAAAACTACAGACATTCGTCAGCAGCTACCACGATTTACTTTATTCTGTTGAAACCAATGGTCTCTCAAATAGTCTTTCGTTTAACGTATCACGTAAGAAACTGAGACTCTCTGGTATAACTCAACTTCTACTCTTATCATTTATTAATTCCTGCAGTCTATATTCTTCCCTGTTAATCTCTCCTGGACTATTGTAAATCGACTATGTTATATTACGTTGGGCTCTGAAAGCCATTAGTCAGAAGGGATGAGTACTGTGCCTCCAGTCCAACTAATTAACACTGTGGTTGATAGACATTTGAATTCTAACAGGCAATTAGCTACAGTAATTTTAACTGACACTCGCCATCCACTTCATTCACAACTCTCTCTCTCTCTCTCTCCCCTTTTTGTAAGGACAAGCTGTACAATTATATTTATGCATTAGTTTAAATAGACAATAACAAATTTGCTTGAGTATGTATGTATGTGTTTCATTTTCACAATCAGTGGTATCGTGAACTGGTATTAACATGAGTAACCATGATATTTCATGAATCAATTTGACTATATGAGATAGTCATAATGACTCCTGCTTCGCGGCAGGAGTCAGAACCAGTGATCTATCAACCAAGGATTTTCATCCGATTACCATATGAATTCACGACACATTACTGTTTGTTCCCAGCCCAATTCAGAATGAGTTGAATTACAAAGGTGAGAGATCATATTGATTATCTAAGATAATCTATGCTTTGGTACATATGGATTATTGATACTGGATAATGATTGAATCATCGAATCAATTGGGAAATATAGAAAACTAACAATCCAAAAAAGCAAGACAGGAGGCTGACGGACGAATGAATATGATGTGACACCATTTAAAGGAGAAATTTTCTCTCCCTTAATAATAATAATAATAATAGTCCACTTTATTCCAGACAATTTTTGATACAATCTGAAATTCTCAGTATGATATATAACGATAAAAACAAATAATATGTCCGTTTATACTCCTTTACAACATTTTGATTAGTGCTATTATAAAAATTTAATCAATGTAAAAACAATTAAAATGAGAACATTTTGTATTGTTAATTAAATCAATGAAATAAGATTGTTGACTGTTACAAAATTGATATGTGAGTTCTGTTCTAATACTGTTCTCCTTATATGAGATACATGCTAAGTAAGATACAGTAGAATTCTTGTACTCGACTGTACGAGTGTACAGCTTTATGTAATTTCTACTCCTTCTTCCAGAATGGATAGAGAGAGAGAGTTGTGAATGAAGTGGATGGCAAGTGTCAGTTAAAATTACTGTAGCTAATTGCGTGTTAGAATTCAAATGTCTGTCAACCATAGTGTCAACCAGTTGGACTGGAGGCACAGTACTCATCCCTTCTGACTAATGGCTTTCAGAGCCCAACGTAATATAACATAGTCGATTTACAATAGTCCAGGAGAGATTAACAGGGAAGAATATAGACTGCAGGAATTAATAAATGATAAGAGTAGAAGTTGAGTTATACCAGAGAGTCTCAGTTTCTTTATATAATAAGTTAACAAGATATGAGACGACCAATAGAGATCAGAAATAAAACTCAATCCAGGATAGTTAATATTCAATTTACTTTCCAGAGAAATACTATCAATACAACAGATATCATGAAAGTGAACCAGTTCACACTAGTCTTGTTTACATTTATGGCTAAAATTAACAGTATGACATTTAGTAGGTTTTCTAATTAAGTTACTAGTAAGCGACTGATGGATAACATTAGAGAATTACTGCTGTTGTTTCCTGATCATTTCATCTATTGAACAAGTGGTAAACTATTCGTTATTAGTACCAAAATGAGCAAATCATATTGAAGATCGACTCAGATTTTCAATTCATATCTTCAATCATCACTTAGTATCAACAATACAAGTCCACTAAATCCAATCATTATTTCAGATAGTCAAATTAATAATCTTATTGTGTTGGATCGTCGACCGAGAAGTAATTTGGAAGCTGCTTCAATACTACGGAGTACCGCAAACCTTTATCCGCCTCATTCAACAACTTTATGAAAATGCCACATGCCAAGTAATTCACAATGGGAAGCTCAGCTCAGTGATGCTTTTGAAGTGAAGACAGGAGTGAAACAAGGTTGCCTACTATCCCCCATGATATTCCTTATTGTGGTCGACTGGATCATGCAGCAAACAGTAGGCAGCGAGAAGAGGGGGATACACTGGACGACGGAAAAGAACCTAGAAGACTTGGATTTCGCCGATGACTTGTGCCTAATGTCACATAAACATGAAGATCTGCAGGCAAAAACTAACAAGTTGATAGAAGAGGCAGCTAAGACGGGGCTTCAGGTGAATATAGAGAAGACAGAAGTGATGAAGATACCGCACCACCACCATCAACAACAACAACAAACTCCAATCACCGTCAACGGGAGAAACTTGAAGGAAGTAACCTCCTTCACTTATCTAGGAAGCACTGTTTCAACTACAGGCGGGACGGACGAGGACGTCAAAGTCAGAATCGGAAAAGCAAGACAGGTGTTCATTAGCCTGAAACCAGTGTGGAGATCTTCTGCACTCCACTCAGCACAAAGCGTGAACAAGATACGGATTTTCAACACCAACGTCAAGTCAGTGCTCTTGTATGGTTCAGAGACTTGGCGCGTTACGAAAGGCATTTCCAATAAACTACAGACATTCATCAACAACTGCTTACGCTGGCTCGCTACTGCAGCTCAGATGGCCAGAAAGAATAAGCAACAAGGAACTCTGGGAACGAACCAACGAAGCAAGAACCTATCACTCAACAAATATGCAGGAAGAAGTGGAGATGGATTGGCCATGCACTGAGAAGGCCGACTGAGGACATCACGCATCAGGCCCTCGAGTGGAATCCCCATGGGAAGCGACGAGTTGGTGACCGAGGTGAGGGTGACATGGAGGAGGTCGTGCGAGGAGGAAATGAGAGCTTGTGATCTGTCGTGGGACCAGGTTCAAAAGATCTCAGAGAACAGAGGTCACTGGAGGCGTGCTACTGAAGCCCTATGTTCCACTAGGAACCCAAGGGACTATAATAATAATAATTGTGTTGGATAATATAGTTAACAATCAGATATGAAACTTGTCTGCAAATATTCAATCTTACCTTCAACCATTATCCTTCTCAACGTCTTATTTATAAACGATAATCCAATACATAGTTCTAATTGTTTTGACATAGAGGAAGAGTGGAGAATACTAGGCATTAAAGATAATTGCTTTCTAGTAAAATTAATTTATTTCTCTGTGTTCTCAGTTGTTTTCTTTTCGCCTTTATTTCATCTTATTTCACCTCATTTGTTTCTTGTGTATACCACTTATAGTTGGGACAATTACGATTTCTATGCTCTGGTTGTCGAATTCACTTACAGAAATATGGTGAATTGAAGTGTACATCTGAAAAAGATGAGGTAAGATTGTTTATTTGTTTGCCTTGTCAGTTTTTTTTAAAAAACTATTAGTTTTAATAAGTAAAAAAACAATCAGGTCGAATTGGGGGATGGGGTGGGGCTTGTGGAGATTTGTTTGTTGATTTCAAGTTGGTATTCATCATGGACTGACATCAGTTGGAGGAACACTAGGTATCTGCTTTGTCCTAATATGGGACTCCTCAGCAGTGTACACTCATGACCCCATCCCACTAGGGATTGGACCCAGAACATTTAGGTTCCGCGGCTACCATATTACCACTGGGTCGGAATTTACTGATCCATATTTCTATTAGTCTGTGATAAATACCAACCTAAAATCAACAAATAAATCCCCACAAACCTCCAAATTGAATTAATTTAGTGCTTGTCGTGGACTCTCTTCGAGAGGTGGTGATCCCTTAAGTTCTAATGGGAAGTCGTGACCGGTGGATCCAACCAAGTCGAACATGAGGACAGCTACTCAACGATGGCATTGGATGAAGATCGCGCTATATTGTGAACAGACAGAAGTAGGAAATATACACCACTGGATTCCAACCCAGAGACTCGGTAGTAACGTGGTGCCCATGAAACCTGAAGGTCCTAGATTCGACCCCTAATGGTGTGGAGTCATGGAGGCACACTTTAGGGAGTCCTATACCAGAGGAAAATAGCTGTCCAATGTTTCTCTAACTGTCGCGGCTCCTTGGTAAATTATTATTTATTATTTCTCCTTTGGGTTCCTATTCGAATATAAAGCTTCAGTAGCATGTCACCATTTTACTCTGTTCTCTGCAGTCTCTTAACCTGGTTCCACGACTGCCCAGAAGCTTTCATTTCATTCTTGGTGAGTACGAACCCATAAACCTCCGAATTGATTTTCTGGAAATGTTTGATCTTTACAATGTTTCCCATAGTGATTTGTTTTTTTTTCTTAGAGTGTATAGTTTCCCAATGTACCTGGTGTAATTTTATTAATCCATGCCTTCTCACCTTCTCCTCTTTCTTTCAAGGCTATCAATTCACTGTCTACTGGTGAGTTGTAAAATTATTGATTTATTTTCTATTCGACTTTATGATATTTCTTAGAAATCACAATTGATAAATTGTATTATTTCTGTGGGAAAATAGGGGGGGGGGCGGGGGTTGACATAACAATTGTGGACCTACCTCATTGTGCAAGGTAGATTTCCCTAGTTACACATTTTTCAGTTCCAGTGGAATTATTGTTAACTTGTCATTCTTCTGTTTCTGTTATTACTTACATGCCAATAGCATTATCGTAAATTTTCTTCGAAACAATATTGCTGAAATCTGTGGAATGATTGTTTTGTTTCATTTCTCTGTTCTATTCATGCCAAGTTGTTGAAATGCTGAAAAATCCTTATGACTACTAAGGGGAATGGTACTTTGTCGTATGCGATAAGTCACTTTTAATGTCTTCACTTGTCTCTTTCTCTCTGACTGATAATATTTTTTGACTAAGATATTCAACTATCTGTTAAAGAACGAGTATACTGCTCTATAGTCTGTTTTGTCTGATTATATATAGATGAGATGTGGCCAATATCAGTAGGAGATATGACTAAGACCACAGGTCTTCGATCATTCTTTGCGTAGGGTGGAATTACCATTTAAACAAAGTCGAGGTTAGGTTGGATGATATTGTGAACCATCAGCAACTGAGGTGATTTGGACATGCGTTGGGATCCTCAACCACTAACCATCTTGATGTGCAATGTTATCTGAAGTTGAATTAGGGTTCTGAAGGACTAGACGGAGATATAGCACCAATCCATGAAGTCTCTGATTGTTGATGTGTGTAGGGAGGTGTAGATTGACTGGTTGGGTTCCTCAAAATGATAGAAATCAATGGTTAAGGACTCTTGGTGACATGCCTGAAAATCGGTCGAGATGGTGCAAATGTATTCACTGTTTGACATCTGAAGCTTGAACATGTACACTAATCTTTCTTTTCAAATTCCTTCTTGTCCCTTACACCTTTTTCCTGCTTTGTTGTCAATCTTTTTCTACCCGCTTGTTATTTGCAGGCTACTGTGGAGTGTGCCAATGTGTTCTGCTGCATTTGTATGCCGTATTCTATTTTATTTTATTATTACTTTATTATTTTGTCCTTTGGGTTCCTGCTGGGACATAGGCCTTCAATGGCATGTTGCCATTTTACTCTGTTCTCTGCAGTCTTCTTAATCTGTCCATAACCTTTCATTTCTTCCTCACACCACCATCTCCTCCATGTCACCGTTGGACACCAAACTCGTCGTTTCGCTTTTGGGTTTCATAATATCCCCAAATGGTCTCCTCAGTGTATGACCGATCCACTTTCTTCTGCATATTTGTTAGGCGATTGGTTGTTGGTTGGTTCGTTGCTAGGTCAGAGTTCCTTGTTGCTCTTGATGTATTTCTTTGTTGGTAATGCTCTTCGTGACACGCCAAGTCTCTGAACCATTACATAAAAGCACTGACGTGACCGACATTAGTGTTGAAAATCTGGATCTTCTTTATACTGAGTGCAGTGCAGCAGATCGCCACACTGATTTCGGATTAATGAAGGCCTGTCTTGCTGTCTTTTCGATGCTGGCCTTGAAACCCTCATCTGTGCCGCCTGTAGTTGAAACGATGCTGACTAGTTGGGTAGCTGAAAGAGACAACTTCCTTTAAATTTTTCCCGTTGATGATGATTGGTGCTTGTAGTAGTTGTTGATATTGGTTGGATATCTTCGCCTCTGTCTTCCCTACGTTCACCCGAAGGAAGTCCCTTCTTCGTTGCGTTGCCTCAGCTCTTCTGCCAACTTGTTAGTTTTCGACTATAGATCTTCGAGTTTGTACGGCAAGACATTAGACATAAATCATTATAGGCGAAATCCGAATCCTCCTTTGGGGTCTTTTCGTCTGCCAAACTACGTATACTCCTCTTCTCGCTGCTCACAGTTATTTGTTGCATGATCCAGTCCGCGACAATCAGGAAGACCATCGGTGATAGTAGGCGGCAGCCCTGTCATCTTCCTGTCTTCACTTCAAAGGCATCACTGAGGTTTCCATCGTGAATCACTTGGCTTGTAGAATTATCATCATATAGTTTATAGCTACTGCTGAATGAGGTTGAAACCGTAGTGTTGAAGCACCTGGCAAACTACTTCTTGATCGAAGGCCTTTTCAAAATCGACGAGGTTGAGTTGAGCTGACTACCATTCTATGCTCTGTTCTATGATGATGCGCAGCGTAGCGTTGCAGTTTGATCCTCACATGATTTATTTTTCCTGAAGCCAGCCAGCTAGCCTGTTCCGGTTATAATTTCTGTGCGAGTTGCAGGCGGTAGTCGATTCAAGAGTTTTGTGAAGTGGTCAGACCATTGTTTCCTTTGTTTTCTCCTCCCTGATGGTAACTAGCTTTCCTTCACTATCTTCCATTGGTTTCATCTGTGTCGATCTCTTCCCAGATAGTAACCTGGTTACTTGATATAATGTTGTCAGGTCTCTCCCACCTGCAGCCTGTTCCGCTTCACTTGCCAATGTGTCGTAGAAGTGTCTTTTGTCCTTGCGCGCACTCTTCTTCCTCACTTCTTTGTCCAATGTAGTGTTTTATAGGTTGTGTTCAGTTCCTCTTTTTGTTGTTCACCCTTCAACTGCAGTGCACTGGTTCATCTTCTGCTTCACCATCTTCCTCTACCTTCTCTATCAGCTTCTATGTGTGCATGGAGATGTATTGCTTGTCTTACTTCATCTTCCTTCCTAACATGGTTATGCAGATTTCTTACCACGTCTATTTCAAGGAGTTCCATTATTTTCAAGTCTTGTTCATTTCAATCTACGATTTCTCTGTGTGTCTGTGTGTGTGTGTGTGTTAGGTGTATCGCACGGTTTGGATGTAAGCTGAAAGGTTAACAAGGCATGCCTAATTGTATTGAAGAGAATTTGGATTATGAAATAAATTCTTATTATATTGTTCACTGTATGAAATCACTCTCCTTCTGCATTAACAAGAAACTAACCAGTTAAATTTTTGTTTACCAGTTTTTTCTTATTGCTACTGAAATAATTTAGTTGAAATATGTGTGTCCTTAAAAATTTATTTGATTTTTTTGTATCATTGTGAAAATGAGATGATAGATTGCACCTTTTTTTTTTTTTTGTGGTGATAAATTCAATTAAATGTTTCATTGACTATAAGATAGACGAAATTATTATAGAGTATGGAGCCAATTGAAGTGTTATCCAACAGTGTTATATATGAATCCTGAAATCTGGATGCCAATTTCATGTTCAACTATTCAATTTTTGAATACTCTGTCAAGTCGATTGATTGAAATTTCAGGTCATAAGGGTATTTTAAGTTTCTGAGAAATACATCCAAGTGCCTGAATATCACTGAGCATATAATCTTACTTGATCAAGGGTACTGTTCTATGCTAATGACAGTCACTGCTTCAATCTATGTAATTATTGTAATACCCAACGGAGAATCAGTTTATCTAACCTAATGTCTAATATTTTAGCGTCTTTAGTTATTTGGAGACCAACTAGTGGTCAGTAAAAGTAGGCCCACTTTTGGCCCTTAATAATAAAGATAAGGGGATGTTTATATCTTCAACTTTTGACAGCTTCTGAAACACAGATTATAGTTATCGGCATCCAAATGAGATTCACTATGTTAACTATTATTTTTCTCTTGGGTTGCTAATGGAACATAGGGCTTGATTAGCACGCTATATTGCACTCTTTTCTCTGGAGTCGTTTGAACCTGGCATCATGACTGCTCATAAGCTTTCATGTCTTCCTCACATGATTTCTTCCATGTCACCGTCGACTGGGACGCCTAACTCGTCTTTCCCCCTTTGGATTCCACTCGAAGACTTGGCCTGGCGCGTGATATCCCCAATCGGCCTTCTCAATGTATGCCCAATCCAATGCATCTCCACTTTCTTCCAGTGCATATTTGTTGGATGATAGGTTCTTGGTTGGTTCGTTGCCAGCCAACCAGAGTTCCTTGTTGCTTATTCTTTCTCGCCTTCTCATCTCATCTTCAGTATCAAGTGAGCATAGGCAGTTGTTGATGAATGTCTGAAGTTTGTTGGAAATGCTTTTCGTAACGCGCCAAGTCTCTCAACCATATAGAAACACTGACTTACTCGACTGGTATTAGTGTTAAAAATCCGGATCTTTTTCATGCTTTGTACTGAGTGCAGTAGGTCTCTACACCAGTTATTTCAGATTAATGAAAGCCTGTCTTCCCGTCTTTCCGATCCTCGTTTTGACATCCTCGTGTGTGTCGCCGTCGCCTGTAGCGGAGACGAGGCTGCCTACGTAGGTGGATCGGTGAAAGACACAACTTCCTTTAGGTTTCTCCTGTTCATGGTGATTGGAGCTTGTTGTTGTTGTTGTTGTTGGTTGGGTATCTTCATCACCTCCGTCTTCTCTACATTCACTTGGAGTCCCATCTTCACTGCCCTGTCTCTTCTGTCAACTTGTTGGATTTTGCCTGTAGATTTTCGAGATACTCTATATGCTATAAAGTAATTGTTAATTAATCAGGGAGGATGGTTGAATACTTACCGGTTTTCTTAGCCAATAATAATACAATATGATATGCGATTGAATGATTAACGCTAATGGGAACAAAATAATCGACTGTGTAATCCCACTCGACCCATGACTTTCCTCAAAATTCAATAATATTCAAGAAGATTGATTGATTCATTGTACCATATCATTTGATCGAATATAATCTGTTGCCTTTGGTAATATATGAATTGAAATCACACAACGAAGGAAGTGTACCATTGTTTCGAGTAAAAACAAATTCGAAACCTAGTGCACATTTGTGCAGCATACACTGACTTACACCTGTTGTGTTAGAGCTAATGATACAACTACTTAGCTGCTTAAACTTCAGTAGGTGAAACGATGTTCGAATCCGTGATTCATCGGTTGGAAATCAATTGCCTAGATCAATGAGCAACAGTTGTTTCAGAGTAAGATCACAAGGGTTAGGAGACAGTTGGAATTTTTTTTCTCCCATGTGTCTAAAGTTCTCTTACGGTTTATCATATTAATATATTTCTTGATTCGTACACGACACTCAAATCTATTAATCAAGAGATATTTTGATGGCATTCACTAACTGTAAAGAATGACAACAACTAATAACATCTTGATTCAAAACCTGAGCTTAGTTCACAGAGGATTCATTGGCACTGATAGAAAGTGGTCTAAATAAAAAGTCAACAATTTAAGTCATCAATCGCTGAGATCTGACTAACAAAATCTCAAAGGAGTGTATTGACTCAGGTCGGCATACTTCACAGAAGTACACAAAGAACAGATGGATAGGAAAAAAAAGGTGATATCAAATTAGAAAACGTTGTATGAAAGAATAAACAATGTGAAGATGTAGGTTAGTACAAATATTCAAGGTTTAAAAGATGTCAAAGAGTGAATACACCTGCATCATTGTGACTGAATTTTAGCCATGTCCTTAATCATTGGTTCTTTTCGTCTTAGGGAGCCTAACAAGGCAGTCTACATCCCCCTACACGGCTCATACTAACAGTCAGGGACTTGTGTTTATGTTTCATGTCACTATGGTGTCAGGAAAACCTTATTCTGCAATTTTGTCCTACAGTCATAGGCCAAACCTTGTCTTCTGATATGTTTTTTTGCTTTGTGAAATAATTACTAAGCTACTGAGAGAGATCAGTTGGTAACTGTATCTAATCTGAGTGTCTCCTTGCGTTGGTTGTCATTCGTGTATTTTTTATTCACCATTCAATCGGTCACTGCATACAATAACTCTTAGTTAAAGGAATATATAGTGATGTTTCTTTAAAAAAAAGTCCACATTTCAACATAGCTTACTTCTTTATGAAGTTTTTGTTGAAAACGTCACCAAGCCCGTTGGTAGAATGTCTACGATAAATCGTTAAACCTCAAAAAACATTAAACTATTGTGATAATCAAAATGAAATGTACATAGCGAGGTGGAATAAAACTAGTAAAAGAAAGACAACTTTTTTTTAATTACGGCCTAGTTAATAAATAAAGTTTAAACTTTTCATAATGTAATACTGTAGTGGATACTACTGATATGAATGCGTATAAGTAGTATATGTTGAGAAGTCGGCAGAAATCATAGGCAGTTAACAGCGATGCGTAAGTCTTCTGTCCAGAGAAATGTAAGCGACAATGTAGGCGTCTTTATCGTTTCTTACAATTCTAGTGTTTCAGATACGTATTGGTTGTGAAAATATACAAAAAATTCGGAGTAATTTACCTTATCTCTGTAAAGTAAGGTAAATGATGAAGTTTTAAACAAGCAACCTAAATCTGTCTCAGTCTACGTTATATATGTTTGTATGTATGTATGTATGCTCTTTTCCATTGCTTGACGGTATATATAATCAAGTATGTAGAGTATCCAGGTGACGAGTACTACTTAAAATCATGAATTCATTAAATCCTGCTTTTTCATACTTGTTACTTGTTTTAAATTTGTAATCGGGAAACAAATATTTTCAAATAATGAAGTATTGGATAATCTGACTTCATTCGGTGAAGTTGTTGTTTGCTCGTCAACTGTAAGCTTTTTGTATTTTGTCCACATAAGCCGACTTCCACCTTTAGTAATTCTTTCATTTGTTTATTGAAACAGCAACTTTTTAGTACATCCATTGTACTCTTTTTTTTTTTTTAGATGAGATTGTATAGCTTGAGTTATTGGAAAAAAGAATTTCTTCACTGATAAACATTCTTTTTTTTTCGACATCAATTTTTCTGTGATTCAAGTCTGATTTGAAATGTGTAAATCCAAGTATACTTGAAGCTGCTTACCTTGTTAAGTAGTATTCAGTTGGTTAAAATGAGCATTGATCTATCGCCTATTTTTGTTATATAACTGCGTGTTACTTATAAGTAGTTCAATTTTTTATACGAAATATTTCTTAACTTTTGCTTTATTCTTTTAGATGTAGATGCACAGAACACAGATTTATGCAATAAAAATCTTTTGAACACAACTCATCAAGATCAAAAAACAACAGTAAAAGATAAATTATTTGAAGTAAAACCTTTGAAGTTTAATTCCATTCCAAATACACCAAGTTCATCATATGAAAAACATAAGAGGCATTTATTTTGTCGATTGAAACATGAATCTCATCATAGATATACAGAATCACACTCATGTCATGATTCATCGACAACTGTGTCATCACCATCTTCACCATGTTCATTAAAATCCTATATAGATGCATATTATTCCGCTTCAGCGTCATCGTTATCCTCTTCACCTAGGTCATCACAATTGGAGGATTCTGATGTTATTAACTCTGATTATGATGAATCTAGTAGTTCAATAACAAATTCCAGTTGTCAATCATTTCATGATACCCATAATCATGAATTAACTGAAGTTAAATCTGAGACTGATGGTTATCATTTACAACGAAAAAGAAAGAGATCACAACCATGTTATTCTGAAGGGAAAAAGCTTATAAACGATGATAATAGTTATTTGTCTAAACCACCACCGAAATTGGATGAAAATATACAAATCCCTTATGGTAGTATTGATGATACTGATAATGTTAATGAGATGTGTATGAAAAATCATGATATTGAAGAGAATAAATACGGCGTTACTAGTCATCGAAGTGAGTTGATAAGAGTTTATTTTATCTTATCTTAAGGTGGAAAAATAAGTGGTGATTGTCAGTCAACACGTTATCTTTTCTATAGTGTATTATTTTAACCTGGAGCGTAGATGGTTTTTGAATGTTCCGTTTAGTAATTCTGTGTTACTTTTGTGTTGTGTTGTGTTGTGTGTGTGTGTGTGTGTGTGTGTGTGTGACCACTTGTCAGCGTTTCACCTGCCCCCACTTCAATATCATCAACCAGATGATCTCCAGGGAGTATGTCAATCCCGTTGAAGTCAGATGTATCTAAGGTTATATCCATTCGTATATCAATGATGAAGTTGAGTAGGAACGGGGAGAGTGGACACCTCTGACGACAACTCTCCATAAATTTTAATATGGCTGTATGAGTCCGACTAGAGATGTATTCACTCTTTGATATCTTGTAAAGCTTGAATAACTGCACTAACCTTCATCTTGAGATTATTAATCCTCTCAAACTACTTTATCTTTGATATCATTCCAGTTCCTCTTTGTATACGACCGTAAAATATGGTAACTTGACCCGATGCACGTTTGTGCGAGGTTCTACGTTACTTTTGTCAGTGTCAGTCAAAACATCATGCGAATATACCCCCCTTTTAGTTGTTAAACTATAACTCATTGATGTCGTAAGACAATCGGAGCAGACTGATATTATCATAGGTTGTTACACATTTAAGTTCGTTGTATGTACTTTAACAGTTTCGCAATTCATTTGTGACTCTCTAACACTTCTGATTTTAGTATTTCGATATGGTGTTGTTAAGTTTCGCAACTTTTCCTATTTTGATACTGGTTGAGGAGACATAGCATGTGGGTTGTTACTTCAATTCTTCTTAAGGCTCTCATTTTACTGCGGGTTCCATCACTAACTGTAACATCTCCACCTGTATATCGCTCTCAGGCGGTTAGTAAATTAGCAATACTTTTACATTATTGCTTTATGCGAGAATATACTAATAAACAACATGAGTAGTCAGAAATTATTCACGTTGACCCGAAGGTTTTACTAGGTGGTTGGACATGATTTAGGCATTTCTCTCTTTTAGGGTTGACTTCATCATCCGCTAAACTTAGCTCAAAGAGAAATTTGTTATTGCTGTATAGGGTCGAATCGCTCGATGTTTGTTAGTTGATGAACTATGCGGATATCTTGATACTGTTGGATATTTATATTGGTCTAACAGAGGAATCCAGGATGCACATTCCGTCTTATTCGCTACTCATCAAGTTTAAATCAATTCAGTTCGATAAACTGCCTGAATCAACCAGTTTATCATTAGATTAACAATGAATTTATGAATTACTTTCAGTCCACTCAATCTTAATCTAGATAACTATCTACTAGTGAATTCTTGATTGCTTTTTCCCTCAAGATTTTGAAATACAGTACTAAACACTGGTGATTTAATTTTATTTTCAATGGGATATCTGGACTAGATTTGATAGGCTGGGACATGTAATATGCGGTGTTAGTTGAAATTAGTTTCGGTTGAAAAAAGGTTAGTGACAAGCAGACTAGATTATGACATGTATCTATGATGTCCTAGACTATTGATTTGAGCCTTGTAGGAGAATGTGCTTCCCGAAATCTGTGGTATGAGATTGTATATGATGTAGCTGAGAATCGACCTCAATGGGACAAAAACCATTCGTATTTTATTTTCATCTGTAACATCGAACTTAATTTCATCTTTATCTCACTTTTTCTTGTTCTCCATCCACGACTTTCTGCCATTATTTCTTTATCGTTCATGTCTGTGCATTGTTGTTTGATATGTGTGGCATCTTGAATCCGTTACATCATCATTATCAATATCAATATAGGAGCAGACATTACTGCCTGACGGTCCAAGTTGCCACAGCTCATATCAGTACATCAAGTAAAAAGGTAGTGAGGTGAAAGATGAAGATAAGAAGATTCAGTCAAAAGAAATATAAAGTACTCAAAGAGAGACAGAGAGAGAGAGAGAAAGGAAGAATGAGAAAATGGTAAGATTCGGTATAGCATCGTTAAGATAAGGATAATGTGTTAGGGGATACATCTGTTTTCACCCACATCACCTACAGTCAGTCTCCAACTACTCATTCCTTTTGTCCCGCCAACTCCAACCACCCAGTCTGCATCGCCCCACATAGCTCAAACCAACAGTCAAAGACTTCATACATTGATCCCACATTTTAATTTGGCCACCTCTGGCCATTCAATCCATCTTAATGCATTCATTACACCCTTCAACAACTTGTATTCAATTCATTTCTATTCTCTTTTTTTCTCTTAAAAAAAATGTAACAACTTGAACTGATAATACATTTCTGTAGAAAATGTATACGTGTATCTTGATTTGTTTATCTGATTATCTTTTGCTTACAAACAGACAATCAAGTGTATTAATTTTATTTACTTGTTTAGATAAATTAGAATCAGATGATTTCGATCATCATGAGATGGTTGATAATAAAAGTATTCTATCGTCTTCTGGTATTCATTCAAGTTCCAATTTCATTGATTCACGTGATACAAAAGGTCATATTTCCAATATGTTATATTCCAATAACAATCATCATCATCATCATCATCATGCTCTACATCATAATAATAATGATCAGAAACAGAATTGTACAGAACAACAATCATCATTTATTGGATCGATGATTGAAAATCATAACCAACTGATGAATAATGATCAAGATGATCAGGATAGTAGTAGTAGTATAGATGAATTTGAAGTGAATAAGTTGATGAGTGCAACTAATGAATCGAAACCATCATCCTGTTTTATGTAAGTTTCATTACTACTATTGTTATTATTCCCATTAAAGATTTTTCATTGAATCAACCGATTCACTTGAGATTATACTGTTCATGTTTAATTTCGTTATAACTGTACTAGCGAACGTAACCTTACATACGTGTGATTTGTAGGTTATCTACTTGACTTACAGTATGCACATGAAATCGTCCCTCTAAGTGAAAAAGCTGACAAGATACACAGGGTCTTCTGAACATGTTGAGCAGAAATCTGAGTATATTTGGCATACATTTCGCACTTGTTAAATGTAGAATGCTATTACGGGACTGGTTTGCAACAACTCCCAATTGAAGAATAGAGAGTGAAGTGGTTTGGAAGTTGCATCAGCTCGAACCAGCTGATTACTGAAGAAATGTCAGCTTGGCTACAGAAGGTCTATCTGGCATTCGTCAACTTGCGAGATATCCGACTGTGTAACAAAGTATGCGTATACTCCGCTGTAGTTGTTCTCTCCTGTCATACAGCTGTGAGACAGCCATTCAGAGTAGAAGACATGAAGTGGTTACAGGTATTCTCGTAGTATTGATGAAATCACCGTGTAAGCAATACTGAGGTCAGGCGCAAGGTACTAGGTAAGTCGATCGATGAGGTTTCGAACCTTTATCGGTTGAATTCGCTTAGACATATGTTGTGCATGCCAATCCACTCCTAAGAGAAGTTGAACTAGGTTGGAAGAAGGCTCAGGACATGGCACCAGTCCATGAAATCCATGATTGCTGGTCTGAGGCGTGTTGTGGAGATGTAGACTACCTGTCTGCGGTCGGCATGACGATAGAAATAAGTGGTTTTATGACTCTCGGTGAAATGGCTGGAAATCAGTTACAGTGGGACAAATGTATTCAGTCTTTGACTTCTTCTAAAGCTTGAATGTTTTGACCAAGCTTAGTTTTTCAATTCCCTCTCCTCCCATACACCTTTACCTACTTTGATATTAGTTTTTTTCGATCAACTTCTTCTTTGGATACTGTTGTGAAGTGTGTCAACTTGTTAGGATACACTTGTGTACAAGGTAGGTATGTTGATTTTGTCTTGTCTGTTACTGTACCCTAAGAAAAAACTCCTCTTTCTCACAACTTTTCTCATACTCAATGATGTGATAAAGGAGAATAGTCATTTCGTTGCTGTGAGCATATGATCATGATTAATCTTTACGAGTGGTCACCTTGTTAGATTAGCAACTCTTCGTTTCTATCATCTCATCTCTAAGACAAACGAAGTTGAAATCCATTCAATAACTTTGTGCAGTTTCGTGAAGTAGGCGACCATGAGCTATACCTATTGTGTTGAGGTCTAATGATACTACCTTGCTGTCTAGACTCTGGTAGGTTAAGCAGAATCCGAACTCGTTTGAACCAGTTCCTACTCAACTCATGTATATCCACAGTTAGAGACTTCAGATTGAAGACGCAAGTAAAGTGACTTCTCATTACTTTTCGGTCTATGTTTTTACTATGCTCACGTTCTTAGATCTCTTTTGTTTCAGTAAATGTTAAATAACTGAAATCACTCATCAATAACTCTTCTGTTATAATGTTACATCATATCGTAATGTCTAATTTATAGATCTTGGAAGGCTGTCCATCAATGCTGATCCCGACACTCATCCTCGTGGAAACTGTCTTTAGCGTTGCAGATTGATATATTTGCAAAATCATATAGATAAAGAAATGAATCGACTTCTATTAAGCTTTGCATTGTGTGACACAAATTTCTACTGTAGAACACTTTTTGAAGTTTTTAAGTCATAGACTTCACAATAACAAATCTAGTTAGTCATTCAACCGATATGATCATATATTTGCACTGAATAAGGTAGCTGGCACATGTTTTGCGCTTAACAAAGCCTCTACTTTAATATAAGTGTAAAACTTGACCCGTGTGGAAGAATGTAGTTCCATATTAGATTTGTTTATTTGATTTATAATACACAGTGGGTGATACAATATTATTTACCTAATGAGGTTTTGAGCATAGATTATTACTGCTCATAATCATATCTATGTAATCACACCACTTTCAACAGTCGATTTTTATAGTCTTTCCATCTCATATTTATCAGTTTTTATCGATAGTTAACTTTTTCGCATATCTCTAGTAAAAGTATTGCGTCATCATTCCTATTACATGTGTTGAGTGTTGGCTAATTCGATGAACAAAGATTCAGTAATCAATGTCTTTCACTGAATACGGCACTGGAGACAGTCGGAAGGCAATCAAATATTGACTCAGAACTTACTCACAGAACTAAGATATCGGTTGGTCACATCATATGAAGCGTACAGTTGTGCTTGACCTACACAGTCTTAAAACCTCAAGACACAATATATAGACAAACAGAAGGAGTAGCAGAGTGCGACCGCCAATATCTCCAATCATAACAGATTTATTTATGCATAGTTTGGAAAAAATGGCCTTACAAACGTTGAATTCTGCATCTAAGATATGGTGGTGATATGTAGATGACACATTTACTGTGTTCAAATCGGAACATATCGACAATTTCCTCACACATATAGATTAACTCGGTGGTAGACACAATCCAATTCACTTATGAGGTAGAAAGTGAACAAGAAGAATTATCACTACTGGACTGCAAGATAAAACGAAGGACAGACAGTGGTTTGGAGACTACCATCTACACAAAACTGACACATTCCAACAGGTATCTAGACTTTAAGTCATCTCATCCAATGTAAGCTGAGGTGGGTTTAGTCAAATGTCTAATTGGTAGAGAGCTGGAGAACTGACTAGTACTAGTCGGTGCAACGACGTAAACAAGGAACTGAAGCACATAACAGAAGCTCTAGTAGTTAATCATTATCGTCTACAGTTTATTTACGAAATTCGAAGGAACACATAAGAAACGAAATAATAACGATAACATGAGTATGAGTGATAACGACAACACAAGTAGAAAGGAGTTTGTCCTCAGCCTTCATTGTGTTACCCTTTGAGGAAGGAAGGTATATCAGAAACTTGATGTAAGATCCTCAACAAAGCCGGGATTAGTTATGATGGTATTTAAACCTACAAACTCACTCAGAGATAAGCTTTGTCGACTGGCTAAAGGATCCGATCGAACCAACTAAGCAAAATAATCTAATCTATCAAATTGTATGTAGTGAAGTGACAACGAGGTCAACTACATAAGTCATACTATCCGATCGAGGTGAGTCAGATTAGCGGAACGAAGGAATTTGACTAAATATGGAAGTATAGACCTGAATAAGATCAATAGTCCAGAAAAAACTTAGCTATTGCAATGGATACACATAAACACACAATAAATGTATGTATGTGTGTGTGATAAAACCACTGTACCTAAGTCCAACAATATAATTAGGTGGACAGAGAGAAAGAGAGGGAGATTGGTAACTGAATCCTTGTGTAGGTAGTTGCGAACTGCCTAACTGAGCTGTAATGATCATAAGAATCACTGATCGATGAGACCGGGATTTTTGGTGATTCAGATGGTCTAGATATGCGTTGAAGTAGAAGTCTAACTAGGTTGGAAGAAGGTTTAAAGTGACCAAACCAAAACGTGTCGCTGATCCACGAGGTCTCCGACGACTGATGTAAACCATGTAAGTCATGTTAACTACCTGGTTGAGATCTTCGAAGCGATAGGAATCAGTTGTTGGCGACTCTTAGTGAACTGGTTGAAAATTGGTCACAAATGGCGTAAGTGTATTCAATCTTTGACATCTTCTGAAGCCTAGACATTTCCACTAATCTTCAATTTTTGAAAAAATCCTGTTTTAATCCAAACACTTCCGTGTACTTTGCTATCAATCTTTTCATACCCACTTGTTGTTTACATGAGATACTGTAAATTGTGGGAACTTGGAGTGATTCACTTCTGTACTACGAGAATCTACATTGGTTTTCTCTGTCCGTTTGTCTTCGGGATGTTGTTCAAATGCAGTCACTTTGGCTGCAGTATATCCACTTAGTTTCATGTATTTCTTCCCTTTCCTTTCGTACACTTTTGCCAATCTGCTTATCATTGTTTTTGTATTCACCTCTTCTTCACTTGAGATAAGAAAATGTGATACACTTCTATGTTAAGTTCTACGTTGATTTGTCTATCTGAAGTGAATGTTTGTGTGTATTTTGAAGATGGTGATAATAATAATAATGCTGTACTAACTGGCATAATGATTGTTGGATACGTTTTTCATAGTTTCTCGTCACTAAGATAAGATATTTCGACATGTCTTACGCATGTTCAGTGATTGTCTGCCATGTTGCACAATGTTCACTAAAGTAGATTTAGGCTGGAGAAAGATTGAAGGTGACCACCAATCTGAAGTATGACATTAATCCATCAAGTTTTTGACTGTTGATCTGAATCATGTGGGGAAATGTAGGCTTCAAAAGTGGACTCCTCATGTTAACGGGAATTAGTATGTTGGAGACTGTAAATGATATACTTTAGAATCGATTTCAGTTATGCAGATGCATCCACATATTATCTTGTTCTCTTTTCATAAGTACCTACCTTGTTTACTGTTTCTTTTATTCGCTATGTTTCATGCTATAGTGCTTTATATCTTGATGTACTGGTATGTCAACTCGAATTTTTACACAGGAATACCAGTTTCCATGTTGATAGTAACTAATTAGCTATAAAATGCTTCATTCCGATGTTGTTGTTCAACTTGATATAGTCTATGAAAGCAAGCAAACGTGTTTGTGTGTGTGTGTGTGTGTCTGTCTGTAATTCACTATTCACCGACGGTTTATGCGTTCAACTCCGCTTCACCTACTGAAGTCTGTGCAACCAAGTACCATAATTACCCTTCACACAGGAGGTATGTGGCTCATTGTACACAACATGAATGTGTACGTGATAGATGAAGGCATTTTGATTCGAAAGTATGATAGTCTATTTCCATCATTGTAAATATACGTTTCTAGCCATCTCTAACTTATTAAAGAATATATTCAACATCTATATCATAACTTTTAGTTTCCCGTCATTGATATACCATTTTATTGGCATATTGGTTCCTGTACAAATGCCTCGATATTATCATCAATTTAAGCCTATAAACTATTAATGGATAATAACTTGAAGTGGAATCTAGGGTACGCGTTTTATCTTATCTCGGACTCGTTATTGGCAACAACATTAACTTTGAAGTAGGTAAATGCAAATGATTCATCTTAGACAGGATGAAACGCGCTTCCTGAATTTCATTGAAAGCCGTTATCCATCATTCTATTCAAGTATATCGGTGCATCGCTTTTATTCCTAGCAATTATTATTATTATTATTATTTTCTCTTTGTACTTGCTAAATTCCTCAACTAATGTTTGTCTCTGTTGTCTTTCCCATGAATATTCAGTGATGCGCATCGTTCTACGTGGTCACATCTTGTACGTATATGGGATAGAAAAGTACACTATGCAAAGAGTACTACTACTGCTACTACTAGTACTTCTGCTGATTCCTCGGTACATCTTCAAACAAATACTGGTACTTGTGCTAGAACTGATCTAATCTATTTTGGCAGAGGATTAGATATTCCATTGAATAATCGAGAATTTTGGAATACACAAAAGTATAATTTATATACTAAATATTCTGATACAGCTATTGGACCTGGTGTTAATACTTTTCTGTCATCGACAGTAGCACCTCCATCTCAACTTGCATCATCACCATCCACAGCTGCTGTTATAGATCATCAAATTACAAGAAATGATGCAATTAAATCAGAAACATTGAATTTATTTTCACCTACTGTAAGTTCTTATTCTTCTCTTTATCATTTTGGATCTTATTGTTCAAAGTTATTCATTCACTCATCTTAAAGTGTAATGATTGATTATGAGATAATCAGCTATCTAACTCATATACTCAAAATGATGTTATCCCTCTCTGTAATTTAGTTAGGTTTGGATTTGAATGAGAAGTCTTGACTCTGACTGGGGCAACCAATCTGAGTACAATCAAGCGGTAGTAATGCATTACAAATTCACATAGTAATCGAGCAAAAATATTAAAGATTGAAGCGAAATGATAATAATAAAAAAAATCAAGTCAGCAGTCGGGTTTCATAGCCAATTTTTAAAGCACCACTCAGAAAAACACGATGGTTTCTGGTCCGACTCCTGCCGCAACCTAAATTCTCATTTCATCTTCAATCACCACCCACTATCAATACTAGTCTACTAAACCATGACTTGTAGTCAAAATGATAATAAAGGGATTTGATAATAAGAAAGATAATGTGAAGGTAGAATGATAAACTTTTAAGACTACCTTGGTAATAAGATAAGCATTATGCGGGTAGATTTAACATAATAAGAAACTCTACTTAAATACATAACGGGGAATTAAATTTGTATATGGCTAAAGTCTTAACAAACGTAAGTATACACTTCTGACAGTTTCTATACAAAATTGTAATAATTATTAATATTTTCCCCTTGGGTTCCTAATGGAACATAGGTCTTCAGTAGCAGCACGTCTCCAGTGCACTCTGTTCTCTGCAAACTTTTGAACCTCGCTCCACTACAGCCCAGAAGCTCTCATTTCTTCCTCTCACTATCTCCTTCATGTCACCCTCAGCTGGGACACCCAACTCGTCGCTTCCTATCGGGGTTTCACTCGAGTGCCTGGCCTGGTGCTTGATGTCCCCAGTCGGCCTTCTCAGTGTATGCCCGATCCAATCCATCTCCAAATTCTTCCAGTTCATATTGGGTGGTAGATTCTTTATTCGTTGGTTCGTTGCTGACCAGCCAGAGTTTTTTGTTGCTTATTCTTTATGGCCATCTGAACTTCAGTAACGAGCCAGCATAGGCAGTTGTTGATTAATGTCTGAAGTTTGTTGGAAATCCCTTTCGTAACGCTCCAAGTCTCTGAACCATCACATAGAAGCACTGACTTGACGTTGGTGTTGGAAATCATACAATATTGTAAAGGCTGTATTAATATCAATCCTGTGACCTTTATCAATAATATATTTTGCAATAGATGATGATAGTGGTTGTCTGTCACGTGAGCATATTGATGTTTGTGAATTCAACTGCATTTTTAGCCATTTTGGTAAATGTTCCTCTCACCATCAAGTGCATATCTCGATTAGTCCTCCTTATGTTTGTGTCTTGATATGTACATGTAAATTGACAAACGCAGCGTTCAGGTGTATGTGTGTCTCAGTGTGTTCCGTTTTCTCAACTATAATAAGTCTAGCTGCATAGTATACTTTGCTAATAGTAGATCTTAGCCTCCTCTCCTGTGTATGGTAACGTCATGTAAACGCATTTCTTCGTAAGAGAATATAGACTGGATTTCAATGCAAGTTGATCTTTTTCAACGATTTACAAAGTTCATTAGATATCCATTTTCTTCTAATGTTTCATTTAGTATTTTGATGTCATCATCCATTAAGTCTTCCGTACAGATACGCTGGATCCTTTTGAATAGTCACATTGCCAAATCTTATTTGTATTGAGTTGAACAAATGCTATGGAAACTTAAGTACTAACCTGTCCAAGTAGATTTCCTGTATATTGACCGTTTTATTGAACAGTCTTTCCTACGAATCAGGAGTATATCCAAGAATGGTAGACTGTTGTCTTTCTTGCCTCCACATGTCAAGCGCATACTGTTTTGTACGGTGTTAAGTCTTACTAGTAACTATGTCATATATCACAATTAGATCTTCAACATATCTCTAATGAGGTCACCAGTTGAACCTTCAATATTTGACATATTAAATATTAGTTAGTAATGGTCTTAAGAGACTTCCTATAGCCACGGTATCTATTTATCGAAATTGTTCTCCTTCAAATATGAAATGAACTTTATCAGTATACAGTAATAGCAGCTGTTTCAAATACATTGAAGGGGGATAGGGAATAAATCTAGATTACAGTGAAGTTTTTAATGTGAAATATTGGTTCATTGATTCAACTAGTGTATCATGGGATAAAATACCATTCAACCTTCTGAGGTGTGGGCAGCCATATACTACTAGTAGTATCATTAGCCTACACAAAATAGGTAAGTGTGGCAACTTTAAAGGTCACTTTAGCAACAGTTTTTTAATAACCAATCAAGTTTCATTATTCCTCCAAGAAAGTTAGTTTTTCACGAAATATTGAAGCCTAATTGTGATTATCGTAGTGCAGTTGTTTGAGTGGCTATTAAAGTCATTCTTCATTGAATGATAGAAGCTACTATAAACTTATGTAATCTTTCATTTATTGGTGTAATGATGCATCGTATAAAATTTGATGAGGACTGTTTAAGATAGTTTATCACATTACAAAGTGGGCAGATATCTTTTTGTACACTGAATATTATTCCCTTTATACTGTAGCATCATCACTATCATCACTAAGAATTATTTATTATCAAATAAACTCTTCTTGCCATATATATGATAACGAAAAAATTTATCAGAATTGTTATGATACAGAGTTGTAAGAACAAATGAAAATACTTAACAATTGATAGTTGAAAGAGTTGAGACAATTCAACCTGAGTGATTTACAAAAAGAGAAATCAAAAGACTTGAGATCAGATAAGTTCGCACCCTATTTATAAAGTTTACAGTAACCTTGAAAGACAAGGAATAATTAGTACATTTTAACAGATGACTGGAGCCAATCAGAACGCTAGCAGGTCATACGAAATATGACCAATAAACGGTAAAAGAGCGCGAAATAAACCAGTTCATATATATATATATATATATATATATATATATATATAAACTAAGTATGGAATATAAGGAATATAGACGTCTCTAACAAGAATGCACTTAGAAAGCCTGTGTATGCTTTTGCAGTCAATAATGACCCACCACCATCACCACATGCTTTGTAAGAGTTGATGATACTTCCTAGTTGGGTAAACCTCGATAAGTGAAGTAGGGTTCAATCTTGCGACAGACAATCAGATAGACAGGTAAAATCAATATACAACCTTGCAAAAAAAAATGTATCACCATAAATTGACACACTTCAAAACAGTATCCAAAGAACAAGTGGATAGAAAATGAGGGGAGAGGAGAGTGAATTGAAAAGTTAAGGTTAGTCAAAATAGTCAAGCTTTTACAAGATATCGAAGAGTAAGTGATTTTCAGCCTAAACCACCTTTATGTATCGTCTCGGTAACCCCAGTTAGGTAATCTACATCTAACCCCCCCCCCCCATTCCGCTCAGCCCAATAGTCAGGAATCGAACCTGTGACCCGTAACTAATTGGAAATCAACTAACTAAACCAATAAGCCATAGACTTGATAACAGTGTGTGAGTAGTAATTTAAATCAAGCTACTTATTCTTCTCAATGACATATATTTTGATCTGAACTGGTTCATCCTTGAATCTTTGTATGCTTTGATTTCATTAATGTTATCATTTTTACTTGATATTCACGTTGTGTTGGAATGAACACATCATCACTTGTGAAGGAAATGCTTCAGGTAGTCTTCTGCATAAGTCTAACATCATATACTACTTATTAACACTCATTGCTAAGGCATGTTTACACTGAATAGGCGGCTAAAGCTTCTCTAGGGATCCCCAGTCTATTGGTCAAAAATGTTAAGGGCACTGGTATGTCATGTCACACACCATACTGGTATGCATATTTAAGCATTAACCTGCAGATGTCCACTCTGTTCATCACTTGATTCTTGGAAAAGTGTAATACTGATATCATCATCATCATCATCATAAAGATCAACATAGGACCAGACATTACTGAGGAGCAATCCAAGTTGCCACACCGTATATAAAATAAAAGATGAAGAAGCAAAGAGAAATCAGTCAAAAGAAATAAAAAGTTGTAAAAGAGAAAAAGGGAAGAATTAGAAAATGATGAGGGTAATGTGTGCCACTGACATTGGTTCTGAGCCACATTACCGAGACTTTCCAACCACCTGTTTCTGTTGACTTTCGGACCTCAACCAGCTAGTCTGCACACTCCCCCTCACATGCCTTAAAGCAACAGTTAACTATTCCATGTATTGATGCCATGTTTAAGTCTAGCCATCCTGACTGAACCTTTTTCCAACGTGAACCTACTTCAGCCAACATTATGTGACATGGCAGATGATGGTTGGACACATGTAACACTCGTCCAGCCAGCCATCTTAGTCGATGGAGAGAATAAGTTTATCACAATGGTTGAGTTTAAAAAATATATATACTGTTCATTATTTCTGCATGATGCCTCAGTTATTTCAACTTTTCTTAGAACTGCTTCTATTGCACTGTTGCATTGTATTATCAGTTTCACTATCTGAGATAGCTGTGGCGTGATAGACCTCTGTATTATTGATACTGGTTGATGATTGAAGTCAGCAATGACAATTTGGGCCGTGGTCAAGTTAAAACCAGTGACCATCGAGTTTCTAGTCCAATGCTCTATCAACTGAGCTACGAAACCTGACTACTGATCTGAGTTTTACCCAACTGCTATATGAATTCATAACGTGTTTACTATCGCTTAATCATACTCATACTGACTGCCCACAGTCAGGACTTGTCATTCCGATCCAAATCTACTTAAATACAAGAGGGAGGGGAGGAGCAACCTATTGATTATCAATTTGACTCTCTGAAATACCTACTGTTTAACAGATTTGTATTGATACTTGTATTATTCCATTAGATATGTACAAGTGACCTATGTGAGACGATTGAAATATTCTGATTGATTATGAATAGATAAATATATTCGAAGATTTCTAGTTTTTTCAACGATTCATAAAGTGAAGATTGCATGCTCTAAGGCATATTGCATAACCTTTTACTGTTCAGTTAACTCTGAATACAATCCCGTAATTGTAACCTGTAGATGTGAGGTTATCATTGTACTAATAACTACAGTCAAGCAACAAGTTTTATGAATATAATGTCATTTTTTCTGTATTTATATGCCTGGAAAAGTTTAGTTTCGATGATTTCATGTTATAACATCAAGATATTCAATAAGGGTGCATTGTTTATGTTTATCTGTCTTTGTTTTTTAGACTTGTTATGCTGGTGGCAACAATAATTCATTTACCTCATCTATACCTTATCATCCATCTTCAGTTATGATGCATGATACATCATCAACTGCTCTTGATCTATGTGCTCGTACTACAAAACGAACTTGTGCACCATCATCAACATCATGTTCCTCAGAACAACAACATCAACCTCATACAAAAACACGTCGTTCATTTCAAACTGATCCTATTGTTAACAATTCATATCTTCATTCTACTGGATTAACTATGGGTCAAATAGGCGGTAATAATACATCATGTCCTATGACTGTAGCATTGAATACAAATACATCTATTTCTCAAATCCCATCAACAGTATCATCACCACAAGGTGGAATTCGATCATCTATTAATAATATACCGAATCAACAACAATTACAAACAATCTATGAACAAGCTTTATTATTTGCTGCAGCTGCTGCTGGTCACTATCAACATAGTCCAGTTCGTGAAGGTTGTAAATTTTTTCCGTCTTACTTTGAATTAAATAATCCAGTAAAACAAGCGCCTACTGTATCCTCTCCAAATCTACGCTTTATGAATCTAAACACTTCAAATAACAATAATAATAATAATAATAATAACAATAGTATTAATATGAATCCTTTAATGTCAGCTAGATTAGGCGCTGCAACAGGAACATTTTATCCGCCTATCTCTTCATTATCATCATCTGTTAGTGGTGGTGTTCCTTCATCTTTCTCAACTTCATCCTTATCTACTATTAATAATCCTAATACTCATGGAATGAATAATAAACCGTTCGTTAGTAGTAGTAGTACTCCATTCAACTTTAATCTAACAGATTCTCAATGTCAATCAACAAATCTTTCATCTCATACAAATATAATATCAGCTGTTTCTACATCTATGCTTGGATCGAATCCTGTATCCACTCTAGGCTATAATGGATGTGAGTTGATTTATTTATTTCTTGTTTAAAAAGACAATTAACCTTCTATTCATTTCTTATAGTATTATACTTTATAAAAAGTAACAATCTTAACACAGAATATTCCTTTGAATAAATTATCTAATCAAGTTCTACAATTATAAAATACACATTTGTATAACATGAAAGCAAACCATGTTACACTCAGTTACATTTTCAAAATAGATTAAGATCTAGGGACCGACCGATATCTGCTACCTTGACGTGGTGGTCGGGCTTGCATATCACAATGACCCAACGAGCTATGCTGGTGGAACGCTTGTTCCCTCGAGGTCCTACCATACCAGAAAGATCTGTTGGATAGTGGTTAGACGAAAAGTAGTTACTGTTATAGTGTAAATTGCTACACTATGATGGGGATCTGAGGGCGAAGTCGTACTGCTGCTAGCTGGATGGGGTGTGACAGCAGTAAGGTGTTTCCCTTGGATGACCAGCAGTGCCATGCTGATGCTGCCTTCTCAGTGGAAGGGGGGGGTGTTAGAAAAGGTCGGCCCCAAAAATAAGACACTCCACCACGCCCCATGGTCTGCCGGGCCGGCGGTGTTGGTTCACTTGTCGTTTCCTTTCGACTATCCGGCCCCAAAAATACAAAAGTTCAAAATAATCATACTCAAAAGGCTGGGTGTGACAGGCCTCAAGCAGATGTCCGATGGGCTCTGCGGTCACACAAATCTCTTTCAGGTACCTTAAGAAGAAATAGCCTTCCACGGTGTGGGCAGCTGGGAAGTGTCAACCGCCCTCACAACTCTGTCAGCACGCAAGTTTCTTCTGACTGCTATCCAATGATGATGATGATGAGGGACTGTAAGGGAATCGACTTATCTTTTATAAATCAATCAATATTGAGATGATACATATACATATGAATGATATAATAGTGAACAAGAAGATAACGAAATAAAGAAGGAAGAAGCCTTTACTTTGCTGAAGACAAAGGGAGAAGTAACACTTGAACATGTTCTTTCTGAATGTAGACTTCAGACTTGATCAATCTTATTGTGACAACCTCAGCTATGTTGAACAAGCGTTGACGAGTTACATGTGATATTGTTTGTGGAATATAATGAATAACATTGAACGCTTCATTAGCATTTGTGTGATGCCCAGTGTCGACTAGATGCTCTATGACTGTATAGACAAGTTGATGTAGTGGCTATAGGATCTCCATTGAGCCCAATATATGCGGATATATATATATTTTTGGCAAAACTTTCAAATAGTCCATTGAAAGATCAAATTGTCAATATGGAGTTGTACTGTCAATACATGGATGATACTTTTCTAGTCTTTGATAGGTGTATATGTATTAATTCTATTCTGAACCATTTCAACAGTCCTCATCCATCAATTCATTTTACATACGAAAATGAAATCAATGATTCGATACATTTTTTTGTTTTGATGTGTTTATGGCAACAAAAAGAAGATGGTTGTATACTGAGGAGTAAATATAGAAAACTAACGTCTAAGGCACAGTTTACACACTTTCTCACCTTCGTATCGATGAAGTACAAACATAATATAAAATCAGGTGTTTGACATTTAGAGTAAGATCGATTTGTTCCAAAGAGTGTATCCATGATATTCTAAGTGGAAACGGATATCCAGATATGTTCATCAAAACTTACATCAACTACATTGGTGCTAAACAATAACTAATGAGAGTAGAGAAGAAGCCTTTATATTTCTACGCTTACAATTCAAGGGAGATGTGGCGGCAAGTGACATTCTATCACAACACCTAGCTATATTAGTCAATAAGACGTTTTATGCAGATCGGCTTTGCCTACCATTCAGTAGTCGGCCAATGTTCAATCCGAGACTGAAGCATACCCTACCTAATCTTAGTTTTTCATCTTGCATATATCGATTTCACTGTTCCTGTGGAACTAGTTATATAGAGCGCATGATTAGGTAGGTGCATCTCCGGATACGAGAGTATTTACTAGGTTGGTTGGGAAAGAGCGAAGTCAAAGTGGTGAAAAGTTTAGTCGCGGTGCACCAAGTTGATACAGAACATCGCACAAACGCTTACGAAGCTTTCAATGTCATTCATTGTATTCTACAAACGATATCACATGTAACTGGCTAATGATTGTTCAACATAGCTGAGGCTGTTGCTGATGAGATGATAATAAAGCCTGAAGTCTGCATTGAGAAAGAATATGTTCAAGTGTTACTTTTCCCTTGGCTTTCAGTAGACGAAACTTCGGTATTGCCTTCTTTATTTCGTTATCTTTTTCACTATCTTATCATTTTTCTTTGTATGCATCATCCGAGTATTGATGAATTGAAAAAAGAAATTAAGGCGACCTAGTTTATGACATTACTCCATATGGTAGATCACAGTAATCGTGAAAAGTAGAGGATACTCTAGAAATTGTTGCGAACGTTTTATCTCAGGCTGTGAATATTCAAAGCGACTTATCCTCTGAGCTAGAGGATTAGTAGAATAATTTATTTGAAAGATATCAACTTTGAATACACATTGTTCATTGATGTAATTAGAAATTGTTTTATTGTATACTACAGAAATATTCACTCATATTAACTTTTTAATGGTTATTGATTAGACATTAGTCATCTCGCAACTATATATTTCATTCATACTTCATCTTGCGTTTGTATTCAGTGGGATCTTCATCTTCAAATCCGTCTATGCCGGGAAATCCATTTTATGGTCATCCAGAGCTTTTACAGCGTCAACTAGCCTTAATGGGACTAATTCCACGTGAGTTAAACCATATATATGATATCCATTCCAATCATTTTTCGTCTCTATTTTATTTACCTTCTTGTTGTCGTTAATAGAATTGCATACTTCAGGTAGTACGAAGGTGATTGCATGAAGAGTCTTGAGTACTTCCAGTTTTTTTTCTCATCATAGACTGTGTAGTTTGCGAGCACCAAATTAGTATATTGTATTTGTCTCTAAAATTTTGACAAAAGCTACAATTATCATCTAACTATCGGAGATTGGCGTAGTTTGGACCGTGGCTGGATTGGAACCAGCGACCACCGACCCGATGCTCTACCAACTGAGCTACAACGTCCGATTACCGACCAGATTTTTATTCCACTTCAGTCTTCGTGGGTTTTGCCCGACGGCTACCATGTGAACTCGTGATACGTTACTACCGCTTGATCGTATTCATACTGACTGCCTAGTCAGGACTTTTCATCTCAATCCAAATGTAACTGAATCAGAGAGGGGTAGCATCATATTGATCATCCGAGATAGCCATGGTTTGACAGACTAGTATTTATAATATTTACAATAACCATTATATTTTACTGATATGATTTGTTGATCTTCTCTCTTTTGCTATATGCATAACAGCCAGCATTCATGAATTTAAAATGGACGGGAACAGTTGTATTTTTGTCTACCATAAAAAGATCCCTTCCAGGTTTATACCACCATGAGTTCAGTGGATGTCTGAATGAGATACTACAGCTGACGGATTGATGCGATTGATCTGATCCAATATTGACCACTTCAAAATGTTACATGAAGACACGATATCATCTGCCTCGTCACACAATGTTGACTGAAGAAGGTTCACGCTGGAAAAAGGTTCGGGGTGGCCAGACTAAAAAAATGACATCAATGCATGAAGTCATTGACTGTTGCTTTGAGCCATATAGGATGATGTAGACCAACTGGTTGGGGTCTGCTGGACAAGAGAAACCAGTGGTTGGAGACTTTAAGTTATGTGGCTCAGAACGGATGTCAGTGGCGCAGATTTATACACACATTATCCTCATTCCTCCCTCCTCTCTTTTAACACTTTCTACTTGTACTTCTACTTTCTTTGACCAGTTTTTCTTTCCTTCGTCATCTTCCATTTTATTGCCTTGTTAATTGATATGATGATATACGGTGTGGCAACATGTATTACTCCTCAGTAATGTCTGGTCTTATGTTAATCTTGATGATGATGACCAAGTTGAAAAATAGAGGGGAAAAAAAGTGGCAGAAACGCATAGAAAGACAACAGGACGGAATGGAACTCAGCATGACGATGAAGATGTAGGTAATGTGTCCAAGCCTCTGCACCAGCGAAATCGATTGTGAGCCATATCACCTAAACTCTGATACCACCAGTTTCAGTTATCGCGCGTATGCCAACCAGGAAGTCTACACTCTCCTAGACTATTCAGACTAACAGTCAAAGAGTTGATGGAATTAATGCTCTAACCTCATCAACTGACTTGTTTAAAACTCTACGCCTGACCTTACTAAAGCAATGACAATCTTAACTTAAATATCCTTATTTCGCAATCATATTACTAGAACTCAGAGAAGTTCAGCGTAGTATACGATAGACAGTCGGATATTACATCAACTCCAGCTTAAGTGTTAGCGAAAGTCAAACAAATCTTGTGTATTCATACAGAAGTTGCGTCTATCATTCACCTACTAGAGTTGATCCGACTTCACATCAAGTAATCGATGTGGTCAACCATTTAACTCGTTATTATTAAACAAGACATCAACACAGAGCAGTCATACAACAATAGTTTCGTTTCAAAATAAGTTTAATGACCATTGTATGGTTAGAAACACTCTTACTGTTATTGAAAAGCTTAACGGAGATAGGATTGGGAAATCGATATCTTTCTTAAATAGTCATGAGAAGAGCTGTATATGATATGATTGTCCGTAAAACTGTAACGTCTAATTGTAATCTATCAAGTTTATCCCTCGACGTCTTATTCACATCAAAATACAACATTACTGTGTTTATCAACTCCTTGGTGCATATACTCGATTTTCAATCAAATAGATCTTAGTTCAGCTATCAATTCATCTACACATTAACCAGGCCATGTTGAACTTTCATTATTACCTCCCCCTTCAGATAATGAACTAACAGTTTCCTCATGATGAAATTGATCACTTCAAAGAAGACATAAAGTTATCATTGTGATTCATTTTTCCTTGAAATAAATAAGGTGGCGTTACTTGAACCGTTTCATAGAAATGCTCAAGTCTCATGTTGTAGTACTGTCTTCCTGCTACTCTCTAACTTTATGTGGTACAGTGTCTTGTTGAGACGATCGTCATGCCATACTGTAAAGCTCTGGCCAAACTTGATAACAGTAGACAGTTATTTAGACCTATTAAGGAAACTGTAGGGAAAAGGTCAACAACGGTTAGTAAGACTACAGCGGAGAAGGACGGGTCTGCGATTCATTCGCAGGGGAGACGACTGGAACGATGAGCAGAACACCTTGAGGAACAGTTTAACTAACCTCCAGCCACCATTGCCTTGCCTGCTATCCAGTCGAATCCTGAATGAAACACCCCAAACACTTGCAAAAGCCGAGAAATCTGTAGGTAACTTGAAACGAGGAAGGGCAGCAGAACCAGACGGACTAACTCCTGAGGTATACAATGATGGTGATGAGATGCTCTTAGTCAGGTTAACGAAAGTGTTAACCAGTATATGGGTCCTATGTTGATAGATAATGATGATGGTCAAACTTATTTGTACGACTAAACTAGTTATTGAAAATTTAGGAAAATGTTGTTGAAATATGCTAACTTAGTGAAAACATTGAAATCAGACTGGAAAATATGTGATAAACAATGATGTAATTGTATTATTTGTTTGCTTTATTTTTGTTCTGACACAAAGGTTTTCGACAACAGATCATTCTTATCACCAGATGAATTGAAAAACAAATTGTGACCTTGTCTAGAGAATGCTTACTAGGTTGAAACGATAATTAGTGTTTTAATAAAGCTATTTAATTGATTGTTGCAGTTTAAGTCGTTGTTTACTGATTGAATAATAGGATGGTTCAGTGATATTCAAATATAGTGACTAGAAGTAGGTTGCGGGTTCGATCCCTGGCGGGGTCGTGAGTGCGCACTGCTGAGGAGTCCCATACTAGGACGAAACAGGTGTCCAGTACTCCCAGGTTTCCTTTTTCCTCCAACTGATGTCAGTCTACGATGAATAACAACTTGAAATATTTCCAAATCCCCACAACTCTCTCAAAATATCTTATATCGAAATTCGTAGTCTGCTGGCCGGCACGAAGTTCAGACATACGTAAAGAGAGATATTGCTTTATGTAACGTCCACTGACCTGAACAATTTAAACGGTGGACACAAATAGACCATGTGTCCTGTCACTGGAAGCTAATTGCTCTTACTGGAGAATGTGTTTTGGAGAGTGATCGATTATGTGTTGTAGGTTTCGGGCACATATATGCTTTCACCTAAATAAACGTAGGAAAAATTAAGCAATAAGATCATTCCGAACGTAGCTTGACGATCAGAACACTAGAGGGATCCTTTCAAAATGTGCAACTGGCTAGATAATTGTTGAAATAGACCAACGTCAGTGATCCTACAAAAGTCTAGTATCATCTCCAGTCTGCTTTAAAACAACGTTAAAGACTGTAAGTGAACTTCATCATTATCAAGATCAACATAGGATCAGGTAATACTGCGTATCGGTCCAACATGCCTAATCTCATATCAGCACATCAAATAACAAGACAATGAAATGGAAGATGAAGAAGAAAAGAAAAATCGATCAGAGGAAGTAGGAGTACAAGTAAAAAGTAGTAAAAGAGAAGAAGGAAGAATTAGAAAATGCTGAGGTAATGTATAGCAGATGAGGATAATGTGTGCCACTGACATCGGCTCTAACCCAAGTCACCTAGAGTCTCCAACCACTGGTTTCTGTTGTCCCGTGGACCCCAACCAGTTAGTCTCCATCGTCCTACATGACTCAAAGCAACAGTCAACGACTTCATGCATTGATGCCGTGTTTCAGTTTGGCCACCCTGAACCTACTTCGACTAACATTATGCGACGAGACAGACAGTGGTTAGGCATACGTAACACATGTTCCAGACAACCATCTCGGTCGATGAAGGTTTACAACCGCATCAACTATCTTACCTCTCCTGCCTGAAGCTCTGTACCTTATTTCTGCGTTTCTCACGGCGTATGCTACTTATACAACAATAGTCAAACACATAAAATCTTCTCATATCTTCTACCTTTAATGCCCATGTTTCCCAGCCATACACAGTAGAACAGAGCGAACTGCGACACAGTACACTCGATGCTTGATAGACAGTCGGATATTGGGGTGGCACCACAGTTGACGAAAGCCAACTAAGCTTTTCGTGTCCATGCAATGAGCTTAAGAGATAGTTTAGAAGAGGACAGTGAATCTCATGAAGTCCTGGATTAGTTGATGTACAAGAACGCATTCTTGCAGGTTCTAAGCACAATCAAGCGCAGGAGTTAGTTTCTGATGATTTGGTTCATAATTGTTTTTTTTTGTGCAGATCGGTGTACACATTATCTTCATTATAATCCTCATGCCAAGCTTCATTGTTTTGTCTTCTCTTTCCACGAGTTAGACAGTAATTACAAGTAGATATTGACTGATTTAATCGATACAGATCTGTATCCAATAATCCTTTCCGTAACTGTTAACGTTGTCCTGGTGATCAGTCTTCCTTGTCATAATGATCCATTGTAATCATATTGACTGGAAGTAGTATATATATATATATATATATATATATATATATATATATATATATATATATATATATATATATATATATATATATATGCTTTTCATCTAAGTATCTCCCGTCTTTGTATATCTTTTTTGCTGAAATTTCTTTATGTTTCAAAGTATTCATCGTTCTGTCTATCAGTCTATCAAGTGATCATTTTTTAAATATGTGACCAACGGGTTAAAGGCGATCAGTACTCTACCAACTGAGCTACAAAACTCGACTGTAGATGAGATTTTTTTCTTATTTCACTTCAATCACTGAAAGTTTTACCTAACTATCATATGAATTCGTGATACACGTTATACTACCAGTTGGTTGTACGCATACACTTGTTGCTCCCAGTCATGACCATCTGATAGTCGCTTGTCTAAATCCCACTATGTCTTAAATTTTCATTGCCACTTTGAATCATTCCCTAGTATAAATGACTATTTATCCCAAGTTCATCATGTTTTTTTCAGTAAAGAAAAAGATAGTTTACTCTAGATGTCAGTCCATGACGAATACTACTTCTAAATTAAAAATCCCCATTCATCTCAAAAATACATTACTGTATAGTGAGTGCTCATTAGTGACTTGCTTCTAGATGGATGTTAGGAAGTTCTAATGAGAAGCCGTGACCTGTGGGGTCAACCAGTCGGAAGGGAAGTGGATGCTAACTGAAGACCCTTGGTGACAGTCGCTCTATGTCGTGAATTGACAGAAGTTGAAAATTGTGAACCACTGAAAACCGACCCGAATGACTAAATGGTTAACGCGTTCCCCGTGAAACCTGAAGGTGATGAGTTCGATCCTTGGTGGGGTCGTGGGTGCGTACTGCTGAGGAGTCTCATACTAGTCGGATGAAACAGCTGTCCAGTGCTCCCAGATTTTCAATGGTTCCCCAACTGATATCACAGTTCATGATGAATTCTACTTGTAAATTAAAAATCCTCATTCACCTCAAAAATACATAATTAACTCTGTTTATTTGTTTTCTAGCCTACTCATCTATATTCCTCACATGTAAAATTATGTTTTTCTTTTTGTTCTTATATTCTTTTATAGCTGGTTCAATGACTCCTGAACAAATATTATCATCTGCATCAACAGAACAACGTGAGATTGATGCATTTCAACGATTAATGTCTGAACGACTTGAATATTTAAGAAATGCTGCAAATAATCAACAGCGTACAATGACTCCAGTTGAACAGTATCAATTGTATCAACAACAGCAACAACACCAACAACAACAGCAGCAACAACAACAAGAACTGTTAGCTGCTGCATTTTCAGCTGAAATGGCTTCACGATTTGATAGTATGTCTTCGTCTAATTATCCTTCTCATCAAAATTCTTTACTCCCCTCATCATTAACCGGTTTATCACATTCTGATGGAAATGGTGCAATGACCTCTGCAGTGAATAGTATTTCAACTCGACCAACTCCTTCTATCCAATTACCGCATAATACAACACGTTATCCATCGAGTATACTACCACCTTCAAATAATCGTTACTCTCAAAATCATTTAGATATGCATAATTTAAGTAAAACACCACCAATAGCACATCATAATTCATTATATTCTTCATCATCTCGTGATATTTTAACCAGTTCAAACACTTTATCATCTACTGGTGTAACATCGATGCCATCATTAAATATGGGGCCATCACGTGGTTCACCACATACACCATTCACTACACCTATGAATCCTGGGAATGGACGATCAACATCACAATTGAATCGTAATTCAACTACTCAGTCATCATCATCATCATCATCGTCGGTAGCAGCAGCCACGAATTTACAAGAACAAGTATTCAATGCAGCTAAATTAGCTATGATGGCAGGTATGTGTATGTGTGTGTGTGTGAGAGAGAGAGTCTATTACTATGTCATGAATATCACTTTCCTTCTTTCCAAAACCAAAAGTGGCTAACAATAGGATCCAAGATATGAAATAGTTCCTCATTGGGATTCGATTAACTTGATAAAGTTACTCTAATTGATACTTCATATCAGATATTCATTGAGGATTGCTTGTCAGCATAGTTAATTATTTTCAGTGGAGATGTTACTATTGAATAGAATGTTGGAAGTTGTAGCCAGTAAAGCGTAATATTCTATCTTCGAATATCATTGGAATGCTGTGGGGGAAGAGTATTCTCGAGTTGTTTACAACGAAACTCAAAAAGTATATGAAGCTTCACTTACTAAATCAATAGTTGTAGCTAATGTTGTTGATTTGTATTATCCTATCACTGAGTGGACCGAATTGATCAGTCTCAGGTTCGAGTCCTGGAGGGGATAACATTGCTCATTGGAAGGCAGGTACATCCAGTTAATGAGTCGTAAATAGGAAGAAATATGCATCATGGATTCCACTGCTTACAACTATCCATCAGTAATAATAGTGTTGTATATGTTTGCATAAGGCTTACTGATGATATTATCTAACTACCTAAACTTGGATGAATGAAGATGAGTATGTACTTGTAACGTGTAATTTGGTTGGTAATCAGTGTAGGTATTTTGACTTTCATCAAGCAAACTTCATATCTGAACTAATTTGGAGATTATCGTAAAATATTTTTATGCATGTGTCAGATTCTTTACTCCATTCACTCTTAGTGTTGCGGGCAATTGAATGCACAAAACTATGAGAAGGTTGCTTAGTTTATATATCAAGTAACTAAACAACATAACATATTAACTGCTTTAAGGAATTATGTATTGATTAGTCACGGGAGTTCAACCAATTTCATGTTATCTAATCCTGAGTGCAGACCGAATTCTATCGATCATATTTGCAATATGGCAACCAAGCTAGGAAGCTCAACGTCGCAGTGTACATTAGTAGATATTAGTTGGTTGGAGGCAATCGGCAGGAAGCCCTGTTTGACTTAGGTTTCGTGCTTTTTGGCACTCGCCAGCAAGGCGTATCTGCGCAACCTGGACGGAACTGATGTCCCGCCGGAGATTCGAACCCGCGTCATCCAGTGTTATAGTCAGCGACTTTACCACTGAGTTATTCGGGCTGCAATTGATCTCCTGTAGGACTGGCTTACATGTATTGATTGCTTACGGGAGTGTAACTAATTTCATGTTGTCTAGTCCTGAGTGCAGATCGAATTCTATCGTTCATATTTGCTTTAAGGAATTGTTTATTGAATTCACTGTGCCTATTACCGAGTAGAATGAGTTTTTCTTTCCACTTGTTATTTAATTATGTAGTTTGGTAGTGGTACATTACTAAACCTTGGTTTCTTATTTGTTTCATAGTCATACGATTCTGCTATACGAAGACACTAACAAAATGTAGGGTCTTCTGAACGTGTTGAGCAGAAATCTATGTGTGTTTAGCATGCATTTCGCTGTCATCTGTCAAATGTAAAATGATGCTCCAGGACTGATGGAATGTGTCGATCACCTCACTTATTTACAGAGTTGCATCAGCCCAAACAGGTTGGTTGCTGACGAAATCTCACCTCGGACCAGTTTGGTGTTTGCTAACATGTGTCATCTGTGGCATCTGAAAGATATTTGACTATCTATCCAATGATGAGTAAACTGTGCTGCAGTCCGTTCTTTTGTGTTATATAGCAGTGAGAGCTGGCCATTAAAAGCAGAAGACATGAAACAGTTGCAAGGTCTTTTTTTATCATAGGTGTTTTCGTAATATTGCTCGCGTTCCATGGATTCAACGCATGAGCTATGTTGAAGTCAGATGAAGGGTACTGAGCAACACAGTCGATGAGGTTGGGAGCCTTCATCGACTCAGGTGGTTTGGACATTTACTGCACATGTTGAACCACCGTAACACCAGTCCATGAAGTCTCTGGTTGTGGTCTGAGCGATGTAGGCCGACTAGTTGATGTCCTTGGAACAATAAGAATCAGTGGTTGAGGACTTTTATTGAAATAGCTGAAAACCGACCACAGTAAGCGCAGAGATGTATTCGCTCCTTGACATCTTCAAAAGCTGGAATTGTTACACTAAATCCTATCTTCAGATTGCTTACTCTCTTATACAACTTAATCTACTTTGATATTACTCCTTTTCTTTCCATCTGTTTTTTGTGTACTTCTGTGAAACGTGGCAACTTGAGCCGATGTACATGTGTGTGTGTGTGTTTGATTTTATCTGTCTCTGTCATGCGATCCTTAGTTGTTTTTCGTCTTTTTCATAATACCTACCATTTTGGAAAGGTTGATGATGGAAGCAGGAGTGTATTCCTCTAACTTTATTTTGTGACATCATCTGCAGAAATCAGAGATATTAATTTGTGACACTTTAACTGAATTCAGAGAGATAAAGGTAAACTTAGAATCAAATGGTTTAAATGAATAAGTCCACCGACCAAGTTTGGAATTTGGTCGCTAAACTAAGTAATGCGTGGTATTTTGGTCTTGGATGTAGGGCAAGAAGCCCTAGACCTAGATTTCGTGCTTATTGGGACTCATCAGCAAGGCATACCTAAAACCGTAAGGAAACTGATTTGCAAACTAACAAGAACCGCCTCTACTAGACACCCACTCACAAGGAAAAGAGCAAAATAGAAACTATTATATTATTTGTCCCTTGGGTTCCTAGTGGAACTATAGGGCTTCAGTAGCACCTTGCCATTTCATTCTCTTCTCTTCAGTCTTTTGAACCTGGCTCAATGACTACCCACAAGCTTTCATTTCTTCCTCACACGATCTCCTCTCTTTCACCCACGGATGCCTAACTCGTCGTTTCCTATTCGGGTCCCACTCAACGGCCTGACCTAGTGTGCGATATCCCCAAACGGTCTCCTCAGTGTTTCCCCAACCCATCTTCACTTTGTTGGGCCATTAGCTTCTCGCTTGGTTGCCAGGCCAGAGTTCCTTGTTGCTTATTCTTTTTGGCCTTCTAATCTGATCTTCAGTATCAAGTAAGCGTAGGCAGCTGTTGATGGAATATCTATACTTTGTTGGAAATGTTTTTCGTAACGTGCCAAGTTTCTGAATCATATAGAAGCACTGGCTTGACATTAGTGTTGAAATAGTGTATAGTTTTCTAGTAGTCTGTTGTAAATCCTACCGTTGTGACAGTCTACCAATTGGAGGGGGGGTGGGTGGGATGATTTTTCTGTTTTCCATCTTAACATGAGATCGTCAGAAAATCAGGTTAAGCCATTAAGGTGTGGCTTATTGGTTTAGGGAGACGACTTTCAACCTCATGAGTGATAGGTTCTCACCCTGCTGCACCTACGGAGGTTTGGCCAACCAGATAGTATCATTTGCCTTCACATACGAATGTGCATGAGGTTGTTGAGTGGATACTACTAATATTTGCTTTGTTGAGTTTTTTTTCTCTCTCTCAATATGTCTAACCTAATTATATTGATGATTGTTCTTATCGTTGTAGCTAATATCCAATCTGATCCCAATAAAGCATTAACATTTGCAAGTTTAGCTGCTGCAGCTTTTGCTGAAATGGCCTCACAAGATAAAAAGACACCATCACGAAGTAATATCCCATCACAGCATTCTTCTAATATTCAAGAGAATTTATCACAAAGAGGCATGAATGTATCAACTTCTAATGTGAGACTACGTTCTCCGACTGGACAATACAATTCAGACTGTAATAACACTCCGATTTCTTCAGGAATACCCAACTATATAAATCAAGGTACACATAAAGAAAGACGACGTCAAAGTAGTCATTTATCAGGAAATATTCCTCAATCACCTGGACCTACACAATCATCAAATCGTTTAATGTCTCCTGTACACTCTCATTCAGAATCTCGACCACTTGGAAATAGGACACCTACTCCAGTAGCCAATCGTATGCATCAGTTTCAATCGAACAGTGATCCTTCATTTTCAGGATCCTCAACATCTGGTATATCTCCAGCACAGTTAGCACAACTTGCACAAATGTCTGGACTTCCACCTGGTTTCTCATTTCAGGTAAATTATAAATTTTGGCTTTCCTTTTCGGTTATTTCGATAGTCTTATTCAGATTATCCTACATCTATTACTCAGGGTTTTTTTTTATCGTAGAAGTTCAACTCCAGTTTTAGTATGATCTCGATGAGATTCAGTTTAGAGTGTAGGCTAATAGATGATTAATTGGTTTCTATTCATTCTCCTATCCTCGCTGTTTCCTATTCTTTGATTGAGTATGTATTTCTAGTTGCAAGAAAATTATACTGGTCAACATTATGACGAAAGTGGCTTCACTGATATCTGAGTAGTGGATATCGCACAACTAACTAACGTCAACTGTCTTTTGAGATTTCTATCATCAGTTTCTATGCTTAAATATCTTGACAGAGCATGGATGATTTTGAGGAAAGGTGAATTCTTAGTTTATAGCTATTTACTTCCATGGCAGTCACGAAGTATCAGCCGCCTGCACATCTTTGTAATCGCTTAAATCCCTAATGATTACTGTCAACCTTTGTATCCTTGCTTCACATCTACCGGTCAATATTCCTATGTCATCTTTGATTTCTCTCAGTTCTCTAGCCCTTGATAACGCTTTAAGTACACGGAACAGTACCTCTTGTCTCCTGAAACCGTGCTCTGAGCTACATGTCCTTGCTTTCTATCATATCGAACAAGCTTCGCATTCTGAGTTTGTATGACATATACTTGACCCAAGTTCGGTTATTAACTTAACCTCATCCGACCAATATGGTAAGTCTACGAAAATTCACTCTTCGAGTCTCTGAAGATTCAGCGCTTAGCCTTTATGGTTTTCCACGTTTATCTAAAGCATTAAGTCCTAAGTCAGAAAGCACACTGTTCGATTGAATCCCAGTTGACGGTGCGCTGTTCAACTGAACGATGATGAAACTCACTCGCTGACTGCAGTTTGGATGAAGTAAACAATGAATCCCACCGAATACTGTCTAACTTCCTACTGAAAGCTAGGCGTTGAGATGTGGTTGCCGTAGCAGATAACCTCAAAGCACAAGTGGTTAGGCTAGTTCAAACAGAAAAGCACCTATGTGGCACTTTCTGGACCCCTGTCAAACGTACAGCTAACGGTGGTAGTCACCTGCTGCAATTGTGCTCGAACTGACCATCTATTTGTGGCCAGCATGAATTTCAGAAGTAAAAAGAGATGTGGCGTTCACTAACTTCAACTCAACAGTGGACATAGATAGATTATATAACTGTCAGTTATCACTTGACGGAGTTGTTGGAAGACTACCGGAGAGTGATCATATATGTGCTTGTGCCTGACTGAACGTAGATAAAGTACAGCGACATGACCGTTCTTAGTGTACATACAATCAGACATGAAACTACTAAGAAATTACTTCAACACGAAAAATAAACTGAATATTTATGGTTTTAAGATGCAATGTGTACTAAAGTAGGTCTAGGCTGGAATAATGTTAAAGGTAGTCAGCTGAAATGTAGCACAAATTCATAAAGTCCTTTGACTATTGGTTTGAGTCCTCTTGGTTAGTATGTAGACTTCATGATTGTGATCCCGCGCGATAATCTCGATTGATCAATCAATCAATGTCAAAATAGGACCAGGCATTACTGCGTAACGGTCCCAGTTGCCACACCTCACATCAGTGCATCAAGTAGAAACGTAGTGAGGTGAAGGATGAAGATAAGAGAATGCAGTCAAAAGAAATATCAAGTACGAGAAGAAAGAAAAGAGGAATGACAAAATGGTGAGATTCGGTATAGCGTCGTTAAGATGAGGATAATGTGTGTGGGGATACATCTGCCCCACTGACATCGGTTCTCAGCCATATCCCTTAGAGTCTCCTCCTGTCGCGCGGACCCCAACCACCTAGTCTGCATCGCCCTACATGGCTCAAACCAACAGTCAGAGACTTCATACATTGGTGCCATGTTTTAGTCTGCCCACCTCGAGCCTTTTACCAACCTGGACCTACTTCGGCCAATATTGTGTGACGAGGCAATCGGCGACTAGGCACACGTAGTACGTGTCCCAACCGTCTCGATCGATAAAGGTTCACAACCTCGTCAACTGATTTACCTCTACTCCTGACTTCTGCATTACTCACGTGGTGATACCATGGAATACGGCGGCCTATACTACGAAGGCAACGGTGGTCAAACACTTGAAGCCTTCCTATATTTTCCACTTTCAGTGGCCATGTTTCACAGCCATACACTAGAAGAGAGCGAACTGCTGTGCAGTACACGCCACCCTTAATAGACAAACGGATATCACGGTGGCGCCATAGGTGGCGTAAATTGGCAAAAGCCAGTCGAGCCTTTTGTATTTGTGCAGAGATTTCATCGGCCACTGACCAGTGCACCAGGGCTGATCCTACTTCCCAGGTAAGTGAAGTGGTCAACACACTCAACCACTTCACTGTCTATTGTTAGCCGCGGTGGGGCACCGCTGAAGACCAATCCTGCAGCAAAAATTTGCATTTGGGTGGTGAGAACCGCATCCCAAACATTCTCGAATTCTCACTTAAAGCGTTCAGAAGACTCTGCATCTCTTCAGCATCTTCACCTAACAGGACAATGTCATGTGCATATTCTAGGTCTAACGAGAATTCTCCTGTGATTAGGTCAACGTCTGTGTAACCTGGTGACGAGAGGGAGACCTCCATAAGAGTATCTCTGATGAAATTGAATAAGAATGGAGACAGTGGACATCCTTGACAGACACCACTCGATGAGCATAGCTCCCTGGACAACTCACCATAGGCTGTAACATGCCCTCAAGTGTTTGAGTAGAGAGGCTTCAATAAGATGGTGTACTCACTCGGCACGCCTTTCGGTGAGAGACACTGTCATAAAACTTCTCGATCAACGTAGTCGAATGGTGCTGCCTTCAGGTCGAGAAATACAGCTATTGTCAGGCGTCTGTAAGCGTGCCTATGTTCCTGGACCTGGCACAGTGTGAATATTTGGTCGATACACCCACGGTCGGGTCTAAAGCCTGCTTGGTTTTCTTTGGCTTGGTGTTCCCGAGCTCCACTCAGGCGTCGGAGAATTATACAACCTAGAATCTTAGACATTATGTTCTTCAGGCTGATTCCTCTGTGGTTATCACAAGAGGACTTCTCGCCTTTCTTGAAGACTGGGATGATGAGTGACTTAGACCAGTCGGAGGGGATGGTATTTGATTCCCAGATACTGGTTAACACTTCGGTTAACCTGACTAAGAGCACTGTACCACCATTCTTGTATACCTCAGCAGGTAGTCCATCTGGTCCTGCTACCCTTCCTTGTTTCAGGTTACTTACAGCTTTGTCGACTTCTGAAAGTGTTGGGGGGTGGGGTGGTGGTGCTATCTCTATGTTCTATTCAGGATCCGACTGGATAGCAGGCAACGGAATGGTGGCTGGAGGTCAGTTAAATTGCTCCTCAATTGATATATGCATTCAGTGGTTCTGATGCATGTCCCCACATTATCTTAGTCTTCATGCTAAATTACTCCATTTCATTCCTTACTTTTCTCTTTTCACAAGTTTCTACTACTTTGACTACTTTCCTCTTTGTTCCTCTATCTTTTCATGTGTGTTCGCCTTCTATCTTGCTGCACTGCTTTGTGGTGTGGCAACTTGAACTGTTACGCAGTAATACCAAATCCCTTGTTGATACGGGCAGACTAACACGATTTAATAAGTATACTGGTAATTGATTATGAACGGTTGTATCAAGAATTCTCTTATTCCACTTCACTAATCGTTTGATGCCCTAGAAAAGGCAGAAAGGTATGAAACAACAGTGTTTTTTTTCAATGTTTATTTATATTTACAGTATACTGTGTTGTTTATACATTTGTATGTAACTTTAGTGTTTTGAAAGGTTATTGTAATGGAATCTTGGTAGCCGTGTGAATGAAACAAGACTAATCTGATTGTTTTCAGCAACGTCTAGATTCTGTTGGCCACTGCGGAATAGATTTTAGTTTTTCTTTCACATCTGAAGCCTATAAAAGGTGGATTGGAATGTATTTGAAGCTTACTGATATGATTACTATTTCCTGGATATGGGTTGGGTATATATTTAAAATCTTATAACAGAGAGTATGCAGATTGTAAGATCCTATGATGTGTATCCAGTTGGCGTTTTGCATGTAGACTGTAGAGCTAGATTGTACTTGGTGATTGCTATGCATATATCAATACCTCGTTTCGATCCATTTCATTGTTTGACTTCAGTATTATCATCTATAAAGAAATTTCAGGGGTTTTTTTAAGGGAAAAGAAGACAACCTTCAATTACGATCATAATTAACTATCTGATAGCTTATAGAAGAACACAGTCTGAGTATATCACAGTGGGTCATTTGCCTAGAGAGTGGATTACCAACCAATGGATGGCGGGTTCGAACCCCGTCCCGTCTACCGAGGTTTGGATAGTTAGGTAACAAGTATCATTAGCCCCTCATACAGTAGGTGCGTGTCATTGCCTATCACACAAGATTATTAAGTAAGTTTCAATTTCACTCCAAGTATATCTCAAGAAAAATAAGCAGCAAGATGTGAACAGTTTAAACCCTAACCCTGACCATATGGTGTATGAATTTGAGGACAAAATGTCAGTCATGACAATATAGGTATGACTGAACAATAACTTACATTTGAATCCACACACTTACTGTTAAAAGTCTAGTTGGTAGTGTTCAATTGACCAAACCTCGAGTTGGATGGTGTAAGATCCAGACTTGTAACCTTACTACCTTATAGACATACAGATAAACAGTTATGCTTTTTATCCACCTAGTTATATACCACCAATGCCAGTATTCTATTAACTGACAAACTGTAAGAGACCGATCCTTAACAGGAGGATATTCAAATGGTTAACTGTCGAGTTTTTTTTAAAATTAAACTGGTTAGAGTGACAGAATGAGAACTGTTTGTTTCAATTCGATCACAGCCCACTTGTGTTAAATTTTTGTTCAGTCTTTTTATATGTTAGTTGTTGATGTAAAACGAAACTTATCCTTAGAAGTAGAATCATTAGTCAACCCATTTTCTCTGCATTCAGTTAACATTATGCGTATAGTTGATTTTTTTTTTTAACCTCCAAATAATGCCATTACATTCAGTGTAAAACCTTTTTCCTTAACTAACTATACAGGATCCAGCAGTGTTGAATGCTTTTGCTTTGGCTGCAGCAGCAACATCTCTAGTTGCTGGTGGTGGTGGTGGCAGCAGTGGCGGCGGTGGTAATCACCCAGACATGATGCTTTCAGAGGCTAATTCAACGAATCTAACAGATCGATATCGTTCGCCAATTCCTTCACAGCAACGCTATCATACAAATGCACACAATCAACAACAGCAACAGCAAGCGGCAGCAGCTGCAGCAGCCGCTGCAATGGCTAATGCTTTTGGTATAACCAATCTACCATCTCAGTTCAATTCACGTTTATCATCATCACAGCCATGAGTATTAGTAGTAGTAGTAGGTAGTAGTGGTAGTAACAACAGTGATAGGTGACAAAAACTTGGAACTGACGTCTTGATTTACTTACTATATGTACACTATATGTAGCGCTACTTGTAAATAGAACTTGTCCTTTCTACTTTTTTTTTTCATCATTATTTTGTGGTGAGTTTCATTCTTTCTCTATTCACCGTCGTCAACATCTACGGTGTATTATTGTATGTCTTCATGTGAATAAAGAATGAGAAGAAAGAGACTATGAGAAGTGATAACTTCAACAAACCATTATGAATAATCAAGTATATTATTACCGTTAGAAGAAGAAAACAATGAAGCTATTATCACCTATTTCTCATCTCCTTCTCTTCCATATTTAATCCGTGCATGCTGATTTATATTACTAGGAGAAATTATACATTCAAAAGAGAGTATTCATTCTTTTCTCACCTGTGACTATTCTTTCTTAATTATGACACTATACTATTGTCTGTAATCTTATCATTACTATTGCTATTATGCATAACATCTACACTGTATGTAATCATTCTTCTTTGTTCGCATTTTTTTTTATACAACTATCATTATTACTACTGAGTACTAGCTTGGGGAGTTGTTTCATTGGCATCCTTCCCTCCCTGACGTTTTTTTTATATATATATGCAGTGCATCGATATTCACTTATAATAATGAACTTAACTACTTGATGATAATTACAGTAATAATCCTAATGATAATATAAGCGTGTAATACATGCTTGTTTTTTTTTCTTGTTTAATGCTTGACGTTGAGTAGTAAGGGGAATGGAGGTTTGTGTATATTACTAAACAATCAAATGGGTATTCGTGCAGGGTTGGGCGCAGAAATTTCAAAACATTTGACATACATTTCGCACTTGTCAAATGTAAAATGATGCTCCGAGACTGGTTTGCAACTACTTCTAGTTTAAAGTAAAGTGGTGGAATTTGTCGACCACTTCACATACTTAGACAGTTGCATCAGACCACACGGGACAGAGAAGGCCCGTTTGACACTTGCCGACTTGCGTCATCTATGGCGCTAACTGGTGAGATATCCGACTACCTATTCAAAGGACGAGTATACTGCGCTGCAGTCCGTGCTGTTCTGTTGTACGCCTATGAGACATGGTTGTTAGGAGCGGTTACGGGATAGCATTGGTCGCGTTTGGTGGGACCACCTTGTGAGTAAAGTTGAGATCAGGCGTAGGATACTAGACAAGAGAGGCAAGTCGATTGACAAGGTTGTGAACCTTCATCAACCGAAGCGGTTAGGACAATGTGTTGCGCATGCTAAGCCAATACCTGCATTGCCGTGCATGCTAGGGAAAGCTGGATTAAGTTAGGAGATAATTCTGGCTGGTCAGAGTAAGATGCGGCATCAATCGATGCAGTCCCTGACTGTTGGTTTGAGTTGTGTGAGAAAATGTAGACTGCTTGGCTGGGATCCCCGAGACGACAGGAATCAGTGGTTGGGAAGTCTTGGTGAGATGGTTGAAAATCGGTTACAAGTCTTCTGAAGCAAAAATAATTTTCACAAACCTTTACCTTCCAACTCCTTGTTCTTTTACACAATTTTGATATCACTCTTTCTATTCTCTTCTATGTTTACTACTGTGAAGCTGGCAAACTCGAACCGATCTACTTGTGTGCGACGTTCTACTTTGATCTTGTCTGTCTATACGTATAGTATCTTTCATCATGTAAAAGCAATGGTAAACAGAACTACTGCTTACCTGTTCCATTTTCACAGGTAGACAAGCGTTTGGTGATTCTGTGTGTAAGCCGCTAAGTTGAGGCCATAGTCTTTTAATTACTCTCATTAATATACAATTGCTGGAAGATTTTACACTCATCAGATCAATGTATATACCCAAACTGCAAGTTCAGTTTCCATTACATTTATCCTGACACCTTACCTTGATAAAGTAATCTTACTTTTCAAAGCTTCGGTTAATGAAATTTGGACTAGTCACTGAGAAGTGAACAATTTCGTAATCTTCATTCCTAATTACTGACGAAAATCTATCGCTTTTTTTTTACAATGTAGTCATGAAACTAGAAAACGACGCACTTTTTCGATGTTAGTTTGTTAGAGGCAGTCGGTCGGAAACCGAAAACTAACATTTTATGCTTGCTGACCTTATCCGCCTACAGCATTGAGTGATGCGCTTCCGAATCTCTGAAGGGATATCGATCCCCCTTGATGTTGCAGATACGCCTTGCTGACAAGCAAAAACCGCAGGTCCACGACTTCTATGTGACTGCCACCAATCACCTGATAAAACCCTTTTTTTAGTTCCCTAACAAGTAATCGTTTATTTTTAGTTGTGAAGATGACTATTTTGCCAGTAATTTCTAGTGTATTTGCTAAGTAACTCCTAATAATAAATTAAATAGAACTTCTCATTAGCTTTTGGAAAGTTTTACGTCTAGATATGAAACAGGAGAACTTCTTAGTATAAGGGTATTTTTTTATATGATACCGTCGTTGATTGGACCGAATTGATCGGTCTCTATTAGCATATGGACTCCTGTGCGGATGCCTCGATATTGCTAGCAATCTGATTATGTTAAGGATGGATTGTGGCTAGCAGTGGAATCCAGGATGCACATTTCGTCCTATTTGGGACTCTTCACCTAGATGTACCTGCTTCCCAGTGAGTGTTGTTCCCCCGGAATTCGGACTAGGGAGCGATTGCTTCACATATCCTTATGCTAAAAGCTATACCCGTCGCACAAGAAGTGGCTATAGTGGCTCGGTGGTGTAGTGGGTAACGCGCTGGCGTGCGAAGCGATCGCTCCCGAGTCCGAATCCCGGTGGGGACATCACTCACTGGGAAGCAGGTACATCCAGCTGACGAATCCCAGATAGGACGAAATGCGCATCGTGGATTCCACTGCTAGCCACAATCCATCCTTAACAGGAGAACTTCTTGTTTCAAATCCGGTTAAGTAGCGTTGTAGATTGTTTTACTAATGGATTTTTTTCATGTATAGCAGTTTTAAACTCATCAACAATACATAATCTCAACTACTTTCAGAAGTGAACCGGTATTATCCTTCCTTTTTTAATGACCGTATAACCATTGTCACCGGTTTATGAGTAGAAGTAGAAGGATTTTCAATGTGTAACAGTTTCATGCTTAGTGATCACTAGTATGCAGTTATTCTTCACCACTCGATATACTAACTTAAACCGAAAAGTGTGATATACTCGCTCTATGGACCTGTGATTCATTCGCTTAGTTCAATCACTATTACATCTACTGAGATATTTTGGGCAACCAGGTAATAAGTATCTTCATTACCTCATACTGCACGAATACCCCACAAAGTTGCTGAGTACATTTCGATATACTTCTTATATTTTGTAAAAGTAAAAAGAAGTGGTTCACTTGATACCGTAGCCAATAACCGAAGAATTAAAAGAGCACACATTTCACAAACTACTGTTGTCATTAGATAAATCTATTAAATATAAACTCCCAACTCTCTTCATTCAATTTTTCTCATCTGAAAAATATAGTATTCCATCTGCAACTGCTTGAATAATTCACTAATTAGTCACTAGGTAATAATCATACCATATGCAATAGTTATCTACTTTGATTACAACTTCACTGATCATGTTTGTAGTTTAGTCACTGTTAACTCAATCGATATTTATTAGTATGTTTTTGTGTCAGTGTAAAAGTCTCTATAAACTATATGGTGCATGTCATACTGAACTGTATTACTACATTATTTACCTCATTGATTGAGCTGTTTACTTGCACTAGAATGAAACGACCCCATACAACTATGAGAAGTTTCTCAGTTTAAAATATCGTTGTTACCCTCATAAATTCTGGACAGAATTTTACTCCATGGACAGAATACTTATCATAATGAAGTCTTTTATCTGAAGATAGAATCTAGCGTTATTGTAGGACTTATTTTTGGCTGTATTGGTTGCTTTACACCAATCTTTCTTATGATATTACTCCTCTGACAGAGATTTCAAAAAGAAACTTAAGAGTCAGTCAACTGTATGTTAAGCCCGAAACGGCCACTGCTAGATCTCAGCTCAAGTGACGCAGGAACCCCAAAAGAACAAAATGAATGAAGTTTATTATCACGGTGGTATTATAAATGAGAATTTTTACCACAATAATAAACAATATTTTCAAATGTGGTGGGAAACCCTCTCTCTCACAAAGAGATATTGACAGCACACTTCATACTGAAGTTAGTGCGGATGATGTTGTCTAGCAAGGCGATGAAAGCTTCACGACTAAACAACCCAGCTCAGAGAACAACCAAGACAGATAGACCACATTGCCATTAGTCATCGGTGGACAGGATAGGTGGAAAACTGCCACTCCTTCTGGAATACGTGTTTGGATAGCGATCATGCATTGGTCCGAGCACGTATATGCCTGCGTCTCAATGGACGTAGAAAAATTCGGCAACAAAACCACTACGAGTGCTGCTGGACAACGGAAACATCAAAGCCGTGTTCAGTGAGAAGTTGGCTAGGCAGTTATCAAAACAAAAGACTATCAACCATCCAAAGAAGCTTGGTGCCGTATTCAGTCTAGTGTGAAAGCAGCACTGAAGACTGTAACCGACTCCAAAATAATGGCTAAAAAGAGCCAGCGGATATCAGCAGCTTCTTCCGAACTAATGGATCCACGTGAACGCATCCCCGCAGGCTCTGAGTACAATGAAGAGCGAGCGCAACTTAAGAGTAGACTGAGAAAAAGTCTACGCAACGATCGTGAACAGTGGTGGGCAGTGAAGGCTAAAGAGATGGAAAAGGCAGCGGCAATTGGTAACAGTAGACAGCTATTTACACTTATTAAGGAAACTGGGGGGAAAAGATCATAACGAAGAAGGACGGGTCTACGATTCACTCGCAGAGGAGACGACTGGAACGATTGGCAGAACACTTCGACGAACAGTCTAACTGGCCTCTAGCCACCATTGCGTCGCCTGCTATCCAGT